TCACCAGCGGTCCACAGGAGAAGCGAACAGCTGCTTTCCATGTCACACTGATTTCTAACCTTCTTCAGCCCATTGTGCAGCTTTGCAACTGATATTAAGACTGTGCTATAAGACACAGAATGGAGGTGGTAGCGTAACAAATGCTTCTCTCCCTGCTCCTTTGAGAAATTTGCTCCAGAAAAGCAATTTCTGTCAGAAAGTGTTTTGTTTAGAAGAATTAACTTTAGGTCTTTTGTTCTGTTCATGAGGAAATGGCTCATATAAAACAAAACAACATGATAAACTACTACTGAAAGTACCGGGACACTTAAGCCACACCTACAATGTCTTCATGTCTTCACATTATACAGAATAAATCAAGCATTGTCTGCAAAAACAAACTTTTCTGAGGCACTTGTGCAGTTTATTTGAAATCGGCATGAAACGAAGGATAGTCTTTTCTGGTACATCCGAGTGAAATTGCTCCTCAAACAAGAACAAATGTAGGGCGGGACTTGATTTTGTCCATCAGGAATTGATTGGATGGTTGTGGTTTGGTATTGGTCAATCAATCTCATGCGAGTGACTGGTTACCCTCACACCAGTAAAAAGTCATAAGGATGGGAAGTTATTTTGAATATAAATTATGAGGGAACATGAATAAAAAAAAATAATGATATGTATGGATAAATCATTCATAATAAAAACTGCAATATTCCATTAAAAAAAAGATTTGTCAAGGTGATTTTTAGTGGCTGTATGAAGTCTGCTCTCCTCAATTTCACTAACAGTGTAACCACAGATGTAGATATTCAAATTAAAGAAATAGTTATTAAAAAATACGTATTTTGAATGTGTTTACAAATAGTAAATGGGCTGCAATGATTTTTTTAAATCCAAAAAGTTCTTCAAAATATTGAAAGTCTACAGATTTGGAATGACATGAGTAAATGTTGGAGGAACTTTCATTCATTTGAACCATGGACATGTTCCACTAATATTAGACAACTATAAAGTGTCCAAATAGTTAGTTTTTTTTTTTGGTCTTAATTTATACAACACATATTTTTAAAGTGTTACTTTCTATACACTATCAAAAAAATCTGTTAAATTTACGGGAAGAACTGGCAGCTGTGGCAACATTTTAGGTTTTACAGACTTTTAACCGTATATAATTTAATTTTACAGCAATAAACCATATTTCATTATCTGATATAATGTTAATTGGCTGACCTTTTGAAGTATTAACATCTATTAATACACTAACAGCCAAATATCACAACAGTAATGAGAGTCAAGTGATCAATCAAAGCTCATCATAAGCAACTCTACCATAAGTAAGTTAATACTAATATATAGAACCATATATATATATATATATATATATATATATATATAGAACGGTAATAGAAACATATTACCATATATAAGGAAACTTTCTGTTAACCAATTTACAGTTTTCACTGTGGTCTTACCTTTAAAATCACGATCATTTTTTTACAGGTGTCCTGGTAGGACACTTTTTCGGGTTGTTTATTGCCTTTTTATAGTAGAAATTATCATAAATAGGTATAATTTAAACTTTTCACACAACATGAATCCTGTGAAAACCATTTTGATTAATGGTGAATGTCAAACAATTTAAGAATCTTAAAGGAGTAGGAAAACTTTTGCTGATAATTGACTCACCCCCATGTCATCCAAGATGTCCATGTCATTCTTTCTTCAGTCGAAAAGAAATGAAGGTTTTTGATAAAAACATTCCAGGATTTTCTCCATATAATGGACTTCAGTGGGAACCAAACGGTTCAAGGTCTGAATGAGTTTCAGAGCAGCTTCAAAGGGCTTTAAACGACACCAGATGATAAGGGTCTTATCTAGCGAAACGATCGATCGTTTCAAAAATAAATAAAAAAAGTTTACGTTTTATAAGCACAAATGCTCACCTTGCTCTGTTCTGTGATTAACATTCGTGACTCTCCTGTTCAAACCCATTCATCAAAATGAACAAATCTTTTTTTCGAGTCATGACTCGAAGGGTCCTAGACAAGACCCTTATTCATCGTCGTTTAAAGCTGCACTGAAACTGTCTTTTGGACCTTGAACTGTTTGGTTCCCAATGAAGTCCATTATATGGAGAAAATCCTGGAATGTTTTCATCAAAAACCTTCATTTCTTTTCAACTGAAGAAATAAAGACGTGGACATCTTGGATGACATGGGGGTGAGTAAATTATCAGCAAACGTTTTTTTTAAAAGCGAACTACTCCTTTAATAAGGTATTGCAAATTCCACTTCAAATGATGAAAACCAGTGACAGGCCTCTGAATTACAAGATAAATGCACAGAATTGAAGTAACTCTGGCCTACTTATCAACATGGTTAAGAGAGAGAGTGTGTGTGTGTGTGTGTGTTCAGCTTTGCCATGAGATCATCGCTGTAAGGGAAGCATACCACATATCTCCCATTATAATGGATCTGGCTATCCTTTCATATCTTCTCTCAATTTTTGCGCATTACCAGAGTGTATTGAAAGTGCTGTTTCAATGGAAAGGTAAAGGCACACATTCCTTCTTGTGCACACCTTTGAACTGAACACAATAGGATCGTCTACTGCAAAGATCCCACACTTTTGTTTGTCCATCCAGGAGGACAAAGGCCTACAGTATCGCTTACTCTCCAGAGATGATGGTTACGATTACAGACAAAGCCACAAATGTCGGGGACAAGAGGCTGTGATTCGATGCCTGCTTGCCTAACACATCGCCTCTTGTTCTCAGTCAATCCAGGATTTTGCCTTCAGGTTAATTCCTTTATGCCCTAACATAACTTCGTCTGAAAACACCATGAGACACGGATGACAGACTGTAAACAAATACCTGCTGTCACCTCCGGCACCAAATCTTAACGACATTACGGGGCGGGATGTAAAGTGACAACGGTTTTCTTCTCCGGGTTATTGGAATACAGGGAGATTCCCAGTTGTAATCAACCCGTATGGAAATGAAGGTTAGGACAACGCTATTAGTGTTCTCATTCTAATGTGAATAATAAAAAAAATGCAAATAATCAAGTCCCTGACCAGTGCTAGTAACTAACAGAGATGTATAAAGTACTACAAACCCTGACTTGAGTAAAAGTACAAGTGCTCCACCAAAAAAGTGACTTGAGTAGAAGTTGAAGGGCTCTTTAAGCACCACACTTAAGTAGAAGTACTAAAGTATTCAATATTTTTTGTACTTGGGTATTGCAAGTAGTTTATTTTAAAATTCACTACTTAAGTACTAAAAGTAAAAGTATTGTGTCATGTAATTATTTAAAGAAAGCAGTCAAAAGTTTGAACTACAGTAGCAATCAAATAAGGCGCTTTGATGGGATACAAATTTGCTTTGGCGGCCACCAAAAAATGTCATTGCAGGAAAACCCCTGCATTATTTGTCAATGTCTGTGTCAATCAATACCATCACCCTATAAAACACTATAAAACGGGCGTGCGATTTAAGCAGCATGAAAGCCAACTTCATCAAACCGGGTAACAGAGCCATCTACCGCTCTGGCATCTACCGCTCTTCGAAACATTTTTATAATTGTAACAAATAACTAGCAGAACGTTAAAAAACATTATTGAAGTACAAATATTAAACTCATCGTTTCGACTTTAATCGTTTCGACTTTATTCTCGAAACGCTTCGGCTTTATTCTCGAAACGCTTCGGCTTTATTCTCGAAACGCTTCGGCTTTATTCTCGAAACGCTTCGGCTTTATTCTCGAAACGCTTCGGCTTTATTCTCGAAACGCTTCGGCTTTATTCTCGAAACGCTTCGGCTTTATTCTCGAAACGCTTCGGCTTTATTCTCGAATCGTTTCGGCTTTATTCTCGAAACGCTTCGGCTTTAATCTCGAAACGCTTCGGCTTTAATCTCGAAATGCTTCGGCGTTAATCTCGAAACGTTTCGGCTTTAATCTCGAATCCTTTCGGCTTTATTCTCGAAACGCTTCGGCTTTAATCTCGAAACGCTTCGGCTTTAATCTCGAAACGCTTCGGCGTTAATCTCGAAACGTTTCGGCTTTAATCTCGAAACGTTTTGGCTTTAATCTCGAACCGTTTCGGCTTTAATCTCGAAACGTTTCGGCTTTATTCTCGAACCGTTTCGGCTTTATTCTCGAATCGTTTCGGCTTTATTCTCGAAACGCTTCGGCTTTAATCTCGAAACGTTTCGGCTTTAATCTCGAAACGTTTCGGCTTTAATCTCGAAACGTTTCGGCTTTAATCTCGAAACGTTTCGGCTTTAATCTCGAAACGTTTCGGCTTTAATCTCGAAACGTTTCGGCTTTAATCTCGAACCGTTTCGGCTTTAATCTCGAAACGTTTCGGCTTTAATCTCGAAACGTTTCGGCTTTAATCTCGGAACGATTCGGCTTTAATCTCGAAAAGTTTCGACTTTATTCTCGAAAAGTTTCGACTTTATTCTCGAAAAGTTTCGACTTTATTCTTGAAATGCTAGGCTTTTTTTTTTTTTTTTAAATGTATGCTGCGGTTCAGAGCTTCCATAGTAACCATACAGTTTCGGGTCCCATTGACTTCCATGGGGATTCGAAAACAGTAAAACCCAACGGGGGAGTTGTAAAATGAGCCTATATCCAAAAAAAGTGGAGTATCCCTTTAAGTTAAGTCAACTGATAACTTTTTACAATGCAGATTATACAGTATTACTTAAAATGTGTAATGTAGCCTAATAGATTAAGCTTGCATTACTAACAATTTTTATCGTGTAATTTGTATTCAGTAATGGACTACATTCTGAAATCCACCCCAGATCAGTACATAAATAAAAATTCCCTAAAAAGCTGTATTCATACTACCAGTGCAACTCAAGCTGCATGTTTTTGGCTGGTTAGTATGACCCCAGTTAGCTCCTGCTAACATTACAACAAAATAAAATAAAAATACCAATCAAAACACAAACACCAATTTAAGAAAATGATTGCAGAGTGAACACAAAAACATGTTTTGAGTGATACCAAGTGGTTTAATCCAAATATAAGAATCTGATATGACAATTTCAAAACACAAATTTGAACATTTCTGCAAGTTTTGAACAGCAAACACTGATTCTTTAACCAGCAGAAACCATGTTGTCGTTTAAATGGAACAGTCCCAGATATTTGACAACAAACATTAAACTTAATTCTTGTGCAAATAACCAAAAATTTAAAAAATACTGAAATCAGTGGTTTCATTTAAATAAAGCTTTGGGGCTAAACTGGATTCTACAAAAAAAGGCTGGTACTACAAATTTCTCTCTCTTTACCGCTCAATGACAGAAAACACAAATTAAAGCATAAAATGACAAAACATAAGAAGGAATAACTGCCATTAAATGACACTGGTGTTTGATTTTTTAAAATCAGGGACAGCTTTACATTTAAAGGTTATATTAAACAAAAACATGACAGTTCAGTGTTTTTAGTATTAGTTTTTCAGAACGATTGTTTTCCAGCAATATGTTTCTCTCTAAGCTGTCTCTACAAAGTGTTTTTTGTTTTTGATTAAGGCAAATGAAGTGTAATATTAATAATAAAAAAACAGATGCTGTTTTTAAATCTGACTCTTTTTAAGAGACCCCTCAGTCCTGATGTCCAGAAGGCCTTATCGTGTTGTCAGAATCAGCAGCTTTTTAAGGATCATGGAGTGTGAAGGCACTGGTAAAACTGAATTAGTCTGGATCATAGTATAGTGTTTCATTTCAGCAAAGGCAAGAAATCTCTTTGGCCCATAGCAGTCGTGTACTATACTTACACATTAAGGCACATCTTCATAATCATAATATACAGTGTGTAAGTGGCATCATAATGGAGAAATCAGACCGCTGGTGTAGAGTTGAATTGGTGCTTCCTCTCGTGTGACCGCAGCCTGTCCTCTCTGGAGATGTTGGCGTGTGTGCGCGTCTCCTGCTCCGCTCGGCGAGGGAGGCAGAACTCGTGGCTTTTGCCTTCTCAGAAGCTGAGCATGCTGGGATAGCCGTGCCCCGTGTACATCATCCGCTTTCCAGCTGTTATAGGGCAGTCTCAAAGATAACCAAGCTGCCGTCTCCAGTGGTGGCGAAACCGTTGAGCTGGTGGGTCGGACTGCGGTTCATGTAAGCCTGGAAACCAGAAGAGAGAACGCGGTTAGTGTGACGTATATGCCGTGCTGGCTAAAAACTAGGGATGGGCAACGATTAATCGCATCCAAAATAAAAGTTTGTGTTTACATAATATGTGTGTGTGTAGTGTGTATAATTAATATATATATATATAAATACCCACACATGCATGTATATATTTAAGAAATATGTGCATCTATATATTTTATATATATTTATTCACAATTAATATTACATATAAATATATGATATATTAATAACACATTTTTCTTAAATATATACATACATGTGTGGGTTTTTATATATACAAATTAATTATAAACACTACACACACCTATATTATGTAAACACAAACTTTTATTTTGGATGCGATTAATCGCGATTAATCGTTGCCCATCCCTACTAAAAACTGATTATGGATTAAATTTTTTAATGATTCTCCCCAAATCTTTTTCATCTATTTTTCTTTTTAAAAAAGCTCATCACTTATAGAGTCTTCTCGACTTGTTGAATAGCACACAAAAGCCACTAGTACAGAGGTAAGAGCACTTGAACACTGAATTTACAGAAATCATTTCATATTTAGGGAGCGTTGCATATCTGAACCAAACCCTGATGAACATATTCATTATTCTTCGAGTTATTACTCGTGGTTAAATTACTCACTATGTCTTTGGAAGGCTTTTCTCTTTCTACCACATTAAAATGCACATGTGTCAAAATCATGGCATATTAATATGTAATGCTGTTATTCCAAAAAAAAAAAAAATCGTTAGTCGCACCCCTTTACACCTTATATATTCGAGTAAATAATTTAACACATCCGCATATTCACGGTTCTCTGATGTCGATTAATGGTCAGATGCAGGTGAACAAATTAAATATGTATGTAAATATGTAATTTTGTTTTGTTTTTATTTACTTTAAATTTATTTGACATTATGATTTAATTATTAAAGGGGTCATGAACTGGCTTTGTAATTTTTTTTATGACGTTCGCTTGGTTTTTGCATTCAAAAACATCAAAATGAATAAGTGACAGGCTATTTTGTACCCTAGTTTTGAGCCTAGCTGAAAAACGCTCTGTTTTTATGGGCGTCTCGCATTGAAGACTTGGAAGTAAACGCCCACTGCTGTGAGTGGATAACAGTTTTGCATTTTATAATGAGTTTCACTCTCGATCTGGTTTGTCATCACGAGGTAGGCATCTATGTTATTTAGCTATGCGTGTAATGCACGAATCGGTGGGCGGGGCTAAACCGGCCGTGTTGAAGTAGGCGTTGATCTTCTTCTGCGGGTCATAGATCCCCACTTTGAAAAACGAGTTGTTTGCTGAGACTGGTGTCAATAAAAGCTTTTATTGGACTAACAAGGATGTTTTCAGTTCTGAAACTTGCAGGATATTCTTATAATATTATGACCTCTTAGATGACAAAAGCTCAAGGAAAATTTGATTTCTCAGTTCATCACCCCCACAGTTCCCCCTACACTTCACAAACTATAGAAATGTAATATATATATTAGGGCTGTCAGTTTAACGCGTTATTAACAGCGTTAACGCAAACCCATTTTAACGGCGTTAATTTTTTAATCGCACGATTAACGGTCTTTTTGTCCTAGCACACTTTGTAGTTTTTTCACATGCTTTTGCAACAGGACGTGGCATGCGTCCTGATCCATTTCGGCGCCTCACGCTCGTCATCCACTCAAAGCCGGAACGTGTGTTTGCGGCGTGCCTGTTGTTTTGTTTACGGTCTAGATCCGCTTGCGCGTTGGTTGAAGAAGCAATAAAATGTCCTCGTGCGGCACAAGCCATTGAAATGAATTGGTTTCAGAGTGCAGCGCGAGGACGTTTTGTGCCGCACACACTCGTTTCGGCTTGCAAGCCGGCCAAATAGTAACGTTACATTGAGTGGATGACGAGCGCGAGACGCCAAAATGGATGCCCTTAAAAGATTCTGAATGGAAAGTTTCCTTTTAAAAAGTTGCCAAATTGTCCCATTGACAAGACCAAGTGATCTGTGTGTTTTGTCATTGTGAACGGAGCTATCAACATTCCAGCACGTCCAGTCTGTAACACCACTTGATGATGGCCAAGCAAATACACACACACACACACACAGATGATGCGACTTCTCCACCCCCTCGTCAATATCAGGACCTCATCAGTATTTCTTTTACCCTTTTATTGATAGTGTTACATTGTGTGAGAGATTATTTATATATGTTAGTGTGAGCACTATTCCAATGTTATTTTCAATAATAATAAAAAAAAACATTTGCACTAAACAAGCCAATCCACTTTTCCATGTTGATAAGAGCATTAAAATGAGAAAAAAATAAATGTAACAAAAAGAAATCAAAAGACATTTAGAATAGATAAAAATGCGCGATTAATTGCGAGTTAACTATGACATTAATGCGATTAATCGCGATTAAATATTTTAATCGTTTGACAGCACTAATATATATATATATATATATATATGCATGTACTTTCGTTAGATGAGGTTAATCGTGATTAAACCGATTTGACGGCACCAATCCAAAAGAATCTAAAATGTGTAATGTAACTGAAATTACGTTTCTAACTACATGCCATTTTCAATCTGCAACGCACTACCATTTGTAATTAATCTACCCAGCACTGTGTATATGACCTTTTAATGAGACCTGGAAAGGGATGAAAGGCGTCACTCTTTTCCCAAACCTTCCCTGACAATGCTTTCCTGAACACAGGGGACGGAACACAGGAGAGGCTGAATGGGAGTAAAAATCCCCCCTTATTTAATATCGTTATTATGCAGTAATCAAAACCTCTCATTGTATTTAAAAGCACCCATGGCTAACAATGAGCGTAAAGACAAAAAGAAGAAAAAGCACCTGGTGTTCGGACCCACACCCCCCGCAGATACACCGAGAAAAGTCCCAACAACACAAAGCATGGCCGACAAACATTTGGCCACACTATCAGATATACTCTCAATTGAGCCGGCATTCAGAGTGCACAAAGGCGGAGTGGTCTAATATCAGGTGGATGTGTGCTTGAAAGCCCCGGCGGTCAGCTCCAGAGGGGCCGGCGCAGAGAATGAGCTCACCGGCTGAACGAGGTGGAGAGGAACCCGATCCGAAGGGAGAACAACATGCCGCTGAGGAGGGGGAAACTAATACTGACTGACAGCACAAAGGCCTGGGCTCTTTGAAACACGGCGTATTGTGGGTTTCTGGCACAGGTACATGTGGCACATATTTGGCGATGGGACAGGGCGACATGGACGGGAGACTTCACGTCGGTATTAAACATGCGGTGATCTGCTCACCTGTTTGGCGGTCAGGAGGAGCGAGGATGCCTCTCCCTTGCCCGTCTGCTGCACCATCTTGTAGAAGATCCCGTTCTGGTTCTGTAGGAGGACGTGGGGGGCGTCATACTCGTGGATCCGACCTGCATCTAGAACCTGAGAGAAAAACAAACATCTTTTAGGATTGAGAACCGGTAACCGGTTTCCAAATCCGATTCCATATAAAAATAAATAAATAAAGGATCCCGTAACTGTAGTTCGATTCATGAATGAATGACTCTTATGATCTGGTTCTTTTCAATGAATCAAAGAAAAAGGTTAGTCTATTGACTCAAGTGACTACTTTCATCATGTCCAACTCAAAACGAAGAAAACGCTATTGTGATATATGGATTTAATGCTTGTAAGACTTAAAACTGTTCATATAATATCCAGCATACATCAAAAATACGGTATTCGAGGTATTTAATGCTATTTTCATGGTGCTTTTTTGCCTTTTTTACAGCTTATTCCCAGCTTATAACACAAACACATAGATAGCATGAATAAAAAGTAGGACGAAAACGTGAATTTCATGGAAGAACTATGCAGGTTTAGAAAGATATGAGGGAGAGAAATTATTTTTCATTAATATTTACTATTTCTTTAACCCTTATAATAACCCATTCAAAATCAGCATATGATTCATAACTTATTTAATATTATATATATATATATATATATATATATATATATATATACACACACAGTACATACACACACACCATTCCACCTCTGAATAATAACTTCATTAATGAGTGAATGCACAAAAAATTACCAGCATTACCTTCAAAATCATGACTGCTCTAAAAAAAAACTAAGTCTAAATATATGAAACCTCCATGTTCATTTTCTAACAAAACAACACTGATATTACTCTGGAATATTTTCAAATGAAACATATTAATTTTATTGGGATAACCTTTCACTTTCAGATAAAAGATGATACATGTTTCATGCTGAATGTTTATGATCATCAAAATTCAGCATCAGAGACTAAATATTTCTTTTTTTAAGTATTTTTTTAGGCAAATCTAACAAATAAAAAACAAAAGTTTACATAACATCATATGTTAAGCATCAGTTGATGCTTGAGTTAAAATGGACCCTACTGTAAAAAGTGCCAACTTTTTTTTTTTAAATGAAAGAAATTACATGTTGTTTTTTAAATAGTCTTGGCTCATTTGCAATGTTTTACACTAAACTATGCATTTCTTATGCATCTCTTCTAGGTAATAATGGATCAAATGCATTGTGACGGAGTTCTCCATCTCTGCACTCACCAGGATGCGGTCACTGTCTATGATAGTGTTGAGTCTGTGTGCGATGGTGAGGACGGTGCATTCCTTGAACTTTTCCCGGATGGTTTTCTGGATCAGCTCGTCTGTCCTGTAGAGCACATAACATTTAAAACTGTAGCTCTCAGAGTGGCTTTATTGGTTCATAAAGGACCTCAGGTAATCAGGTAAAGGACTCACCGTGGGTCTACATTCGCAGTTGCCTCATCAATGATGAGAATACGGTTCTTCCTCAGAATGGCTCTAGCTAGACAGACGAGTTGTCGTTGGCCCACGCTGAAGTTTGATCCTGACTCAGCCAGTTCTGTCTCGAGCTTACTAGGCAACTCCTCCACAGCAGCCTTCAGTTGGACCTTTGAGCAGACCACATATGCCATAAGTCAGAGATCACTTATTAACTGCATTACATCTATAATCGTAATGTAAATCTACTGGGGTAAAAGGTTACACTGGAAAATGGCTCTATATAAATTAAGTCACATCTGTGGTGAGATTGAATAGAGAAGTAACAAATCTGGACGCAAATCTTGTGCCTCTTTAAAACATACAGCCTGAAATAGCGAGTGATGTACGTCAGAGATTACGAAATGTTTGGTCTGCCGAACCCCTTTGATTTAAACTCTTACTTGAGGTACCCCCCGAGATTGTAAATTAATATTTTAATCATTTAGCAACACATTCACACGTTCAAGTTTCTCTGATGTTGATATTACGGTGACGTAAAATGCAGGTAAATAAAATAAAATATTTATTTTTATATAAGCATTTTATTTTTGTTGTATTCATTTTTTAAATTATTTATTTATTTATTTTAATCTGACATTTTTATGATTGAATTAATGGAGTTTGTGAACCTTAGTTTGGGAAACTATGTCTCAAGAAAGTTTCAGAGACAGACAAAAATCGATCAGCAATAAAAAACAGATAACCCCCCCCCCCCCCCAAATTATTTTTCCATTGGCTTTTGGATTATTGCAGACAAAAATATGACAATCCTCACAAATTTTGAAGACTAAAAACAAATCACCAGAAGTAAAAAGTTAAATAAAAAGAAAAAAACATAAAAAAAACCCCCACTAACTTCAGGGCGATGGAATCGGAAGTGCTAAAATGTTAACTCGTTTTTAAAAGTCTGTCATCCCTGTAGCTCTCTATTACAGTGTGTGTGTGTGTGTGTGCGTGTGTGTGTGTGTGTGTGTGCGCATGTTCACCTCTTCCAGAGAGTTCCACAAGTCATGGTCTGAGTGCTGGCCGAAGGGGTCTAGGTTCTTCCTCATGGTTCCTGTGAACAGTACGGGATCCTGCGGGATGATTGACATCTTCTGACGGAGGTCGTGCAGGCCGATCTCTGAGGTCAATACTCCGTCCACGAAGATTCTACCGTCTGGCTCCATCAGACGGAAGAGTGCTGAAATCAGGGAACTTTTCCCTGCACCGGTCCGTCCAACAATTCCAACCTGATCAATGCAGAGCAGAAAACATCAGAGCAAACGTCCTGACAGACTCATGTGATGATCTGGAGCTAGAGCTGGACTCACCTTCTCTCTAGGTCTGAACATGGCGGAGATGTTTTTGAGGATGACGGGTCCATCAGAACTGTAAGAGAAGTTGACCTTGTCGAAGGTTATAAGGCCTCGATTTGGCCATTCGGGAGGGGGGCGTTTTTGGGTTTCCCAAGGTGCTTCACTTTCTAGCTCCGTGTACTCCAACACTCTCTCCACTGATGTCATCTAGAAGGACATTCAGAAAACAAATCAATTTATGTATATATGCACACACACAAACACAATGAGAGGTTTACGTCAGTGTATCTCAACCTTTATGATCTTAAAGCTCCTTATTGTTCACAATATTTGACCCACACACAACTTTTATCCAATAAAATTATTTAAAGCATTAAAAAGAACCAAAGTAGTAAGATGTATATTTCTTAAAAGAAAATCTGGTTGAGCCATCTTCTAAGGCCCTGTTTACACCTGGTATTAAGATGCATTTTGGTTGATCAGATCACGAGTGGATGACGTTAAATTCAGGGGTTAATGGGGTCTACACCATTTTGAGCCTGTCCACTTTCGACCACTTCTAGAGGTAGCTGAAAACGCATTAGACCGGATTGCTTTCGTAGTGTAAACTCTCATGTGGTCGAATGCGTTCGAACAGCCACAAAAGAGCGCTTTAGGCAGACAGGATTTAAACTTTGTCGGCTGAAGACTCAAGTTTGGTTTGAAGATGAAAAACGTACCAAGCACAATGTTCTCTCGCCATTCCTGATTTCTAACACACACTCACAGCGTTCGGCGTCATCTTGCGGCTGTCAGAGCAGAATGCGGCCTTATGTTTTTCCGTCGTCTCCGGGAGTGTTCATATGTAAATTGCACGAGTTTATTTTGTCCATTAGATTGAAACATCTGAAAAAGCCCATACATTTACCCGCATATAGACTCTCCCCTCGAAGAAATCAGGACAGGAGTGGTTGAAAGTGGACAAAAGAGACGGATTAAAACACCAGGTGTAAAGAGGAATATGTCTCCCTCGTTTACGTGTGATCCGATCGACCAAAATGCTTAACCCTCTAGGCGCCACGGTCGAGTTTACTCGAGAAGATGCGGCACTGAATAAAATGGCCGACTTTGTCAAATTGGGTGTCAAATTTCATTCGATCTCCCATCCACTAGATGGCAGACAAAAAAAAGTCAGGCTTCTATAGAAAATGTTTGCATTAGAGCGCAATAAAAAGCGGAGCTAGTGTGCAAGTGCGCCATTTTATCAGAGCCTCTCCGCAATCGGAGCGACAGTATTGTAATGGAGACTTTGTCTATTACCACTGGGTATGTTAGACGAGGTCGAAGTATTCATAGGAGAGTTAGGGGGCAACGTGGAGGCAGGGTGGGGAGTCGCAATGACAATGACAGTAGTCATTGTAGGCAGACCTGGCCGCGCTGCTCGCATCATCTAAGGCCCCGTCCACACTACTGCGTTTTCGTTTAAAAACGGAGAATTAAAACGAATACAATCTCCGCCCACACCAGCGTTTTATCTGCGTATTAGAAATGATCTCCGTCCACATTAAAACGACTGAAAACGCGGATCACGTGACCATTCACCAACACTGGGCATGCGCGTGCCGGTGTAAACAGTGGTTGGCGAATCAGGGAAGGATACGTCAAGACTCATGACTGATAACACCCAATCGTAGAGCGATGCTGATGCTGCATTTTATCATTTAAACATGTGACTTCATGAAAATTCTATAATCCAAGATTGCCGCCACCATATGACATCATAATATGCAACTTAGATGGGGAAATGTAATCCCAACATAAACTTTGGATCATCCTTAATATTTCTCTAGTTTACAGAGAGTCTCTATCTTTTATCACTTTTAAGATATATAAAATATATATTGGTATATTTATGCATAACATGGAAATGTTTTTTTTATTGTTGTTGTTTATTTTTTTATTTTTTTTTACTTTTATTTATCTACATATATGTTTATATATTACTATTGCTTTGGCAATATTGTGCTATTTTACAGTCATGCCAATAAAGCTCATTTGAATTAAATTGAATTGAATTGATATAGCCTTTTGAAATTAAGACGTCAATATCGAATGTTTTAGGAAAAAAACTCTGGCGCCTAAAGGGTTAAAACCAGGAGTAAACAGGGCCAAAGACAGCATTCTTACCATCAGCATCATCATTTCAGGTCAGAAATACCATAATTGAGAGTTTGTTAAAAGTCTAAATAATTATTAAATGTAGTTAAGGAGGATTATTAGATTTACCAATCAAAGGTTTTTTTGGGTCAATAAGATTTTTATTTTATTCAGCAAATATGCAATAAATAAAACAAATATGCTATTTCAAAACTTTTTTTTTTACAATAAATATTTATAATCAGCATATTAGAATGATTTCTGAAGGATCTTGTGACACAAAAAACTGTTATGATGTAAACTGAATAATGCTGAAAATTCAGCTTTGCATCACAGGAATACATTACATTTTAAATGTATTAATAGAAAACAGTAATTTTGAATTACAGTATTACTGTTTTTACAGATTTGATCAAATAAATGGCTTGGTGAGCATATCTAAAGACTATATTACTGTTCAAAAGTTTAAGGCAATTTCATGAAATGGATATTTCAGTAAATTTAAATATTTTAAGGTTCTTACCATGTTCTCCACCTCGGCACTCTGTCTAACGCCCCACTGGAACATTCCCATAAGGGTGACTGCATAAGACAAGGCCAATCCCACATCTCCCGCCTTCATACCTGTGAGAATCAGACATGATCAACACTTCATTCACAAACTGGTCTCAAAAGAAGAGATTCAGCTGGTACAGTTGGGTACCATGTAAACAGTTTGAAGTTTGAAACAGTTGACAATCCAAGAAAGTTAGTAATTGGAGGCCTTAATTCTTGAGAAACGGGACGTCCCACATAACATTTTCACTTCATTTATAATAAATGTATGAATGTATAAACATATAAACTAAAATGTGGGCTCTTATTCTCCCAAAGGCTGCATTTATGGTAAAAACAGTTATTTTAAATTGTAATAATATTTTCTATGTTAATACATTTTAACATATAATTTATTCCTGTGATGCAAAGCTGAATTTTCAGCATCATTACTTGATTTCTGATCCTTCAGAAATCATTCTAATTTGCTTTTAATTTGATTTGGTGCTCAAGAATTTATTTCATTATCATCAACAATGAAAACAGTTTTGCTGCTTAAAATTTTTGTGGAAACAAAGATACTTTTTAAATAAACAATGAGTATTTAAATATAAATGAAAGTGTAAAATCTCAAAGATTTCTGAAATGAAACAGCTACTTTTTGTCAATACCATTAGATATTTATGAAATGCATAATATTTATAATATTTCTCCCCCTAGTTGTGCAGCTTGTGTTGTCCCATTACTCAAAACTCAGAGCCCTGCCACCATGAACGCAGAGGATTGTGTTTTGGTGTGTGTAGTGTGTACGCTTTGATCTGGATTTCTTACTGTCTTTAAGAAGAAGACATCCAAAGGCAGTTATGGTCACAAACACAGAACACATTCCATCCAACCGCACTGCAAACCAGCGTGAAGTGGCCAAGAACAAGAACCAGGCCTCTGTAGGAGTACATAACATTTAATCAACACTCTTCCAAGGTGAGAGCTAATCTGAGTCCTGTAAGTGACCGACTCCTATACTAACCTGAGTGCAGGTCTTGATGGGCATCAAACGATTGCTGAAACCTTCCCTCAGCTTTAAAGGCACGAATGGTCCAGAGGCCTTGCAGTGAGGAAGACAAATGGGAGAATACAGGACTTCGAGCTGTAGGAACGCAAATACACAGTCATCAATATCAAACCGACGCTCTGAAGAATCATTACCGAAGACGATATTATTCTCAGATTTGACAGAAGACATTCAAAGATGCTTACTAGTGGATTCAATGCGCTTAACGTCTCGAGATGTCCGCAGGAAGTAGCGGCGTAGAAACAGGAAGCATATTAATAAGGGCAGCACAGGAATCAGAATCCAAGGGATGACTGAAGCAGCCACAGCAATGACTCCAATGATTTGAAGAAACACCTGGAGTGCATAAGAGCATGAAAAGAGGAGAGAAATACACGCACATTTCATTTATAATACAGTAACATAGTATAAAGTGTTGCAAATGGGAAGAGAGCTGTAGAAACACTGCGTCACGGCGGTTGCTCATTAAAGGCACTTTGTGGTTTTGGGTGCTACATTTAACCACAAACATTTATCAAAGAACACGGAAGAAAAACAGTGAAGCTGCCATGACAGCATGACTCGACACTTTCCGAGTGAGATCGCACTCATATTACCCATAATCCCTGCAACCACGTTAACAACTTAAGGTTAGTGTGGGAATGACCACAGACTATGGCAGAATACAAACTGACAAAAGCATTACTGTGCTTGTGCTTTAGGGACTCGCCAGATAGAAGATCCACGATAACGTCAGGGTGAGATCTCCCTCTGTAAAACCGTTTAAAGAAACCGCTTTGGTCAAAATGCCAGCGTTGTCATGCTCAGTATGGAATATGAGAATACTGTCCACTTTACAATCTATGCCTACTTTTTCACAAAAATAGTGTGTGAAACTTTATAAATTATGTAGTTACAACAATTCCAAAAAGTAGTATGCATTGCTGCTGTCACATGCCCTCATCATGTTGCATGTTTAATTAAGTAAGTGGCATCCAGTATCTATACAATACGGGGCCTCAGCAACTCGAAATCTTCTAAGTTGTTCTTAAAATAAGAAAAACAAGTACTAATATAAGCTAAAAGTATTTTTAATTAACCTCAAAAACTTTTTTATATAAAAGAACCACCACCACGATTGTCATGGCCTTGGGAAAAATTGTTATGTGAGGTTGTTTAACTCGTTCCCTGCCATGACTGAATTTTCCGGCTTTATGTGTTTTCACTGTTATACGGAAGGGGGCGCTATTACGCATCTTCTGAAAGAGCAACACAGTTGAAGAAGATGCAGGAACAAGCGATAACATATCCAAGCAGAGGCATAGGTAAAATAACGTGATCATCAACATTTACAGGGTATATACACTAATCCTTAAGTTAAATTTACTACTTTTTAATACCTTTTTTACTACCTTCAGAATTTTTTTTAAAACCATCACGACACTGAATTGGAAGTGTTAACCAGCGACCTTTCTATTACACAGATTTTGACATTTATAACATACAAAAACGAATAGATTTAGAGCACGCATTCCATTTTTATGTTTAGTGGATTGCATTTGCGACCGAAGTGCATTAGCTCCCATCCAGTTGACATTGATGTTTTTTTACACACCAAACAATAGAGGGAATGCATTGACATTACTTTCCCGCCGGTACAACCCCCCTCAACCTGACTGAGTGGCAAAAGATCTGCTGCGTGACTGGATTTAATAGGGGAAACTATTAAACGAAAATGCGACTAAAACTAACAATTTGATCAATTTAAACTAAATGTTGGACTCAATGTAGTTGGACTCCTAACAACTTACTAAAGATCCAGTGATCCATGGATATTGACATGCAGCCAGCAATCGTGTCACCTGACATTTATGTTTGCCTGATTTCAATAAAAGGAAAATAAAAGCAATATATAGAACTACATAGGCTAAAGCAAATTTGCCTGTGAACGCTTTATATAAATACAATATAGGTAGGTCTAAATCCGGGTGATCACTTATATCAGGGTTATACACTCACCGGCCACTTTATTAGGTACACCTGTCCAACTGCTCGTTAACACTTCATTTCTAAGCAGCCAATCACATGGCGGCAACTCAGTGCATTTAGGCATGTAGACATGGTCAAGACAATCTCCTGCAGTTCAAACCGAGCATCAGTATGGGGAAGAAAGGTGATTTGAGTGACTTTGAACGTGGCATGATTGTTGGTGCCAGAAGGGCTGGTCTGAATATTTCAGAAACTGCTAATCTACTGGGATTTTCACGCACAACCATCTCTAGGGTTTACAGAGAATGGTCCGAAAAAGAAAAAACATCCAGTGAGCGGCAGTTCTGTGGGCGGAAATGCCTTGTTGATGCCAGAGGTCAGAGGAGAATGGCCTGACTGGTTCGAGTTGATAGAAGGGCAGCAGTGACTCAAATAACCACCCGTTACAACCAAGGTGGGCAGAAGAGCATCTCTGAACGCACAGTACGTCGAACTTTGAGGCAGATGGGCTACAGCAGCAGAAGACCACACCGGGTGCCACTCCTTTCAGCTAAGAACAGGAAACTGAGGCTACAATTTGCACAAGCTCATCGAAATTGGACAATAGAAGATTGGAAAAACGTTGCCTGGTCTGATGAGTCTCGATTTCTGCTGCGACATTCGGATGGTAGGGTCAGAATTTGGCGTCTACAACATGAAAGCATGGATCCATCCTGCCTTGTATCAACGGTTCAGGCTGGTGGTGGTGGTGTCATAGTGTGGGGAATATTTTCTTGGCACTCTTTGGGCCCCTTGGTACCAATTGAGCATCGTTGCAACGCCACAGCCTACCTGAGTATTGTTGCTGACCATGTCCATCCCTTTATGACCACAATGTACCCAACTTCTGATGGCTACTTTCAGCAGGATAATGCGCCATGTCATAAAGCTGGAATCATCTCAGACTGGTTTCTTGAACATGACAATGAGTTCGCTGTACTCAAATGGCCTCCACAGTCACCAGATCTCAATCCAATAGAGCATCTTTGGGATGTGGTGGAACGGGAGATTCGCATCATGGATGTGCAGCCGACAAATCTGCGGCAACTGTGTGATGCCATCATGTCAATATGGACCAAACTCCCTGAGGAATGCTTCCAGCACCTTGTTGAATCTATGCCACGAAGAATTGAGGCAGTTCTGAAGGCAAAAGGGGGTCCAACCCGTTACTAGCATGGGGTACCTAATAAAGTGGCCGGTGAGTGTATAGCCTCTATATATCGTGATATCGTCCAGCCACTGAATATGACGTCAGTATCAAACATAGACAGAGATGAAAGATCTTTGATTGTGCCTAGATAAGCTATAGCCCATATTTATACGGACTAACGCAAACACAAAATAGGACACCTGATACTTTGAAAGAAAATAATACCTAATTTAAAAAAAATAATACCTCTCAGACTACATTTAACACTTTTAATGGCCTTAAATTTGACAATTTTGATTTATCACTTTTTAATACTTTTTAAAACCCCGCGGACACCCTGATTTAACATGTTACTGAATGAAATGACGACACGGGACAAGCTGTAGAACAGAATCTTTGGGGGTATTGATGGACTCGATCTAATCCATCCATTTTTTGATTATCGTTCTGAATCCGATCAGGATGTAGACTTCAACAAAAAAGCTTTTCGCTCAAAATGTCGCTTTTTTTCTTGAAACCTACCCATATTCAAGTGTTGATTAAAAAAATGTATAAAGCTAGAATAAATATTTTTTTCCCAAACGCTGGTGGGGAAAGAGTTTAAAAGTGTTTTAAAAATTCCTTATCCATTACAAACGACTGGAAAAGTCTTGCAATTCATTAAAAAGAGTGAGACCATTGAACAACATTCAGCTCTTAAAACTTCTGGAATCTTGAAATTGAAATATTCAGAAACTAGGCATGCCCATAGATTAAAATTGTAAAAAAAAAAGTCATTAGGCCTACATCAAATGTACCAGATTTTGCCAACAAGATGAGAACCACTGGTGTATACTGCACATCAGGCAAATCAAGTAAGTCATAATCCTGCACACACAATATATATTTGCTGCAATACTTCTGGCAATTTCCCATTTACGATTTTCTATTTCGGAAGCTTAAATTATTTACAATGTGACGTGATGTGTGTTTGCATGGGTAGTAAATGGGCTTTTTTTAAAATAAAACTTCACAGCCTATGCAATAGTAAGGCAACAAAAATAATTAAAATCAGTGCTAACCGACTAAAGAAAACAGAGAAAAGGGGGCTGTTGTCCTCCCTTTAGCCAAAGAGATCATAAAAATTCAACACCCACAATGCACTAAGGCCATTCCCTGCCATAATCTGCTATGCATACACCTGACCAGTCAAAAATCACCTTGCTTTAGTAGGAAATCTTAGTCATAATGGTGTGTCGACTTGTGTTACCGGGTGCAAGAATTCAAATAAGAGTAAACATTTAGTGGGAGTTATTTTCGGTTTCCAGTGAAAGATCCAGTGCATTGTAGGAAGCGAATTCCAGACACGTGAATACGTGGCAGAAAATCGGAAAAACCTCCATGTTTGTAGTCAACATTTTAAACTGGATGACATCGAACACTGTTTTAGGCAAAACAGAAAGACACTGCCGTTCTGTCAGTTCCTCTCAACCCCGGCAAAGTAAAACACTGTCGCGCACAGGTAAAAAAGACCTTGCCATAGTATTCCATTAGTACAAAAATGCTGTATACAATGTTGACAAAGTGCGATACAATTTTCAGTGAAAAACCTACTCTTGCAACAACAGTTTTGTTAATAACCCTCAGTCGATCTGGCTGTCTATGTACTTCTGCATTTTTGTATCCCTACTCAATCAATCTATAGTTTTCATAGAAGGAGCTGACAAAAGTCAGACGAATAACACGTTTTGCAACATCCAACAGACTTTTAAAGAAAAGTAAACCGGAATTTCAAGGCCCAAGTAACACAGAGAAAGAGTAAACATTCATTTACATACTTCTACTGACATTGTAACAATAGAAATTGGGTTCAAAATCGACTTTAGCGTGATTTTTACTAAAAATAAAATGAATGCGTTGGTCAAAGTTTCAATCATCTTCACTTTCACTAAACAGAAGAACACAAATAGTGTATTGACTCCAGCACAAGAAAATGTAACAAATTATATTAAATTCCTTTGCGATTCCTTAAACTACATGCGTCAATCTCAAAGTCAAAGTTTCCCCACTTCATCTTGTAAGTATGGATCATTCCGACTTGTAGGCACCAACACTGGAGAAAGAGTACAAGCAGGATAGTGGTATGCTATTCTTTAGGAAGTGTTCAACAATGCATGCTGACTTTGCCGTCACACTAAAAGTGAACCAATAGTGAGAGAGGACTGTGGGAAAGGCTAAGTGACTGCAGAGTTTTCTCATCCTGACAGAGACCAAGAAAGATTCTGCTGCCCCACACAATGAAAAGCTCCTTAAAAGAAAGACTATTGTACTTCCACTCAGTCTGTCAAGCTTCAGACAATAGCGCTCTGAGCACATAAAGTGACGCCTGTCACCCACGCATTGACCACATTGTCATTTGCCAGGGGAAAAGCCACAATATGTTAGTCTACAACACTTGGTTTACCAGAGCGAATAATAATGCGTATGGCCACAAGTGATGGGTGCTCTAATATAGCCACGTTACCAGTGTGCAAATTATACAGTGTTTAACAGACACTCAACGACAACAAAACTTGCTTTACTAGGAAACTAAGCAATAGCAAACCTGGATAAAGTCCACAAATGTCCAGGGAAGTAAGGAATCAAGCTGGCCAATGTCTTTGGAGAACCGGTTGAGGATTCTTCCTGAAATGAAAAGAGAAAAACCACTTAGCAAACATTAACGTAGACTCACTGTATTCTGGACACTTTGCACAGTAAAACGTCCTGTAAGATATCAACCCGCTGAAACATAAAGCTGATTGGCTCGTCTGTCTCTGGGGACATGCCTTCCACACATTTCAAAGTTTGATTGACACATTTCGGACAAATCATTTTAGACAAATCTTGCCGGGAGACGCAGTGTCCGGATTACCATGAGGACTCACGGTGTTCAAGACAGCTGAAAATGTCTACTCACTGTGTTTCGGACAGTTAAGGATTTATTTTTAATATAAAACGCATACATTTTAACAACTATAAGTTGGTAAAGTAATCATATTAACCTTCATAAGTTTGCTGTATAAGCGTCTATACACTCTTTTAATCGACATTTGCTCATTTGAGCATTATATTCTAACGTTATATTTAAGAATTTTAAATATTTACATTTTTTTAATGCATTAAATTACAAATATATGCAAATTGTAACTCATAATTATTTTATAAGACCATGAGAATGTTTTTTCATCATTTTCTAGTGGGTGATCGTGTTTTAAGAGCCGTTTTCTATGGAGGTATTCTCCCCTCGTACTATTGTCCAGCCGGAAAACCTTCCCCTCGTCATTTTCTGAACAGTCAATGGTGTACGTTAGAAACTCGATTTCTTTGAAACGACTGGCTCTGGAAACATAGGGTTGGTCGGAATCGAAAGAGGAGGAAGGCAAAGATGATGTATATATACTGTATATATATATATATATATATATATATATGAAGAGTTCAGATGCAAAAGCCTCTAAGTGCCATTTGAATTTTTCTTCTAGAATGATCATTTTTATCAAGCTTGTATATTTAAGTTCAGTAATTTCACTTAAATTGCAATGAGGATTACCTATTAATTGTCATTTAAGTGTAATTACTGAACTTGAATATATATGCTTGATAAAAATGATAGTTTTAGAAGAAAATTTCCAATGGCACTTAGAGGCTTTTGCATCTGAACTCTTCATATATTTATATATATATGCCGTGACCTGAAAGGGTTTATTTATAGATTTTTCGAGAAAAGTTTAAGTGTTCGGAATACCGTGACGTCCGGAAAACAGTGAGTCTACGTTATATTAACAACTTAGCTATTTAGCAACTGTTTCCAGAACATCTAATTAGCTAGACAGGACAGCATGAAGAAGGGGATATATATGTATATAAAGCCTCATTAATACAATGAAATTCTTGAATATAAAATCTAAGCATAATCTTCTATTGCCATTTCTTTAGAAACTGACAAATAGAATAATACAATAACACAATTGCTTGTTAATATTTGAATAAGCTTTGTCGAATCTTTGTCGGCACTCTTTTGTCATTGAACCAGTAATAGTAATGAAAGCACCACTAATTAAAATAATGCAACAAATCTTTGCCTAGTATGTATGCGCACTGTCAGCATTTCTACTTTTTATATTTTTATCAATAACAATCCCATAATGCCCTTTACTTATCTAACTGGTTATGATAATACTGGCCATTAAGGCCTTTAACCTACGCTTTGAATCACTGAAAGGATAATAAATGACAGATTAAACACAAATAATGCAAACAAAGGAGAGCTCAATCAACAATGGCACTATCCTGGATACCTATTTGTCATTTGTCAGAAATGTTTACAGCTAATTATGCTGAGATTAAAAGTTCCAAAGAACTGACAGACATAAAACACCCTCTAGTGCTAACCATTCTTTATAACTAGAGACCATAGATTATAAATGAAAACGATAAAGGCTAGAACGTAGAGACACAGTATACAGTAGTTGTGGCAATTAATCCACAACACAAGCTTATTCCAACCATAAATGTTTTTCTAAATGTGATTTCTATGAGAGTAATTGCGACTCATGTGTACATGCTGATAACAGGATCACGGAAAAGGGCTCCAACTGACTCTTCAGCAGTCATAAAAACTATCTATTAGACTTTTGAGACTTGTAAATGCTCTTTTACTCATGTTATCAACAGTAACACCCCGATAAGGAGACCACGATGACAGAACCCAGGTCAGCTGTTTGCTCAGGTGAGAAGAAACTACACAATACTGGTCATAGCAGGATATCACCAGTATCATTCTAACACACTGATGCACTTGTACATTGAATAAAATTAGCATGCTAGAATAGGATCATGTGACACTGAAGACTGGAGTAATGATGCTGAAAACTCAGCTTTGCATCACAGGAATAAACTACATTTTTAATATATGAAAATAGAAAGAATTTATTTTAAATTGTAATAATATTTCACAATATTACTGTTTTTATCTCTATTTCGGATAAAGGACCTATGGAATGTCTTCATAATGATAGTTGCTCCAACAAGGCAAGTTTTGATGGCATCTCCAAATAATTTCATTAATTACTGTACAGGTGAAATGTTAGTGCAATAAAAACCATCAGAGGTGCAATAAAAGGCTACAGTTCAGATTGACCTAATAATGCTTTATGACATCAATGCAGAGCAACATTTTCTATGAATAAGAGTAAGAGGAACAGCCAGTGAGAGCTGAAGGTTTGACTTCACACACTCAATCCAAACACTTCACACGCAACACAGCTAATGTACCTCACTGCATGAGCAAAGGCCTCAAACGCTGCCATTTACACAATACTCCAGAGCAAACATCGAAGACACAGCTTTACACTTTCCTCCTCCACTGAGGAAGTCTGGATATCTCTTTAAAACAGACAAAGTGCACCTCAAAGACTGTGACTGCTTCTAGATGAATGTCATCCTTTACCCAGAAGCCCTAAATTAAAGACATTTTTGGACAGTGCACAAAATAAGTGCAAAAACATTCAATAGTCACAATCCTTCCGAAAGGAAAACAAACACTAATAAATAAAAAGCTAAATTTACCATGGGATTACAGTAACATGTTTCCTTTGGAAATGTACCATGGTATTTTCATGGCACAAAAGAAAACTCAATAAGCAATTATGACACTTACAGATATATCACAAAGAACCATAGTAACTATTATTTTATAAAGAGGTATAGTGGTAATAACAAGGTGTTATTGGAGTACATATTGGAATTGTATCATTCAGTAGTTGGTATGTACATTTTTATGGATTTTCATAATTAAATGTCATTAAAACGAACAATTAATCATTAATATTAATAACACAAAATATGTGGAGGATTCCAAACTGTGTAGTCCTTTTAATTACTATACATTTACATAAAGCAAAAATTGAAAATAGACATAAAACTTTTGACCTGTTGATGATGAAATGTAAAGTTAAATTTAAAGTCAAAAGTAAACTACCATTCAAAAGTTTGGGGTTAGTTAATTAAACTTTTTTATATACTTTTATTCAAACAAGAATGCAATAAATTCTATTTTAATTAAAGGCTGTTCTTTTAAATAAGTAAACTTTATTTATATAGCACCTATCACAGATTGATCACAAACAATTTAAATAAAAGAACAATAAAACTGTCAGAGCTAAAATAAAACTTAAAGCAGCACTATGCAGGATTTTCGTTTTTGTGTGGTGTGGTCCGCCAGTGTGGTGAAGAGAGGAGTCCCAGCTTAGGACCCAAGCAATCCGATTGGTTCAAAGCTAGTTTTATGGGCAATTTTTTTTTTTTCTGTAGTAGTTTATTTTGAACATGTAAAAAACATAAAAATAAGAAATATACAAACATGCATTCATATATAAAAATAAAAATAATAGTTATATAAAGGTAATGTGCTTCTTGGCACAAACTTCCAAAATTATTCCGAAATAATAATAAATATAATCGCTAATCGCTTTAGTGCCTGGTTACAAATCAGAGAAAAACACTTTATTATAGACCTTATGTAGCCCTGCCCCTTTTCAGCATTGCGCTCGTTGTCTTTTGACTTTTGTCTATATTTTGACAGCGATCTTGCATAGGTATGAATAAACTGCTTGTAAAAAAAAAATTCCCATTCGACATTTGTTAAGACATCTGCTTTAGAATGCTTATGATAAACATTACAATGCTCATGATAACTTTTGTTAACTGTACAATAAGTAAATCCACTTCACCAGCTAATTAATCCGACAGCGATGCCGTAGAAATATACAGAACGACCGTGAAAACGGAAGTTCAAAGACAATATTCTAAAGATGACTGCGCACACGTTTCTCTGGTGCATAAGGTCCATAAAAAGACGTTTGAACTACGTTAAAACAAATCATTAATGTCTTTTAACTTATATGTTTAAAGTTCTCAACTGAAAAACTCTTAAAACTAAATTGCGTGACAATAAAAGTAGTATCTTAAAATTGTGCGGCCTTAGCGCAATGCAAATAAATGTATTACTTGATGGCATCAAACTGCTTTTATCTTTTATTTTTTATCTTATCTTGCACATTGCAGCGGGATTTTGCATCCAAGCTACACATAACGCCAAAACAGCTCACATTAGTTACAAGTTATCGCAAGAACAGATTTAGATCAGGCATACTAATGGGTTTCTAAGCTGGGACCCATCTCTTCAGTGGGACTCATCTCTTCACCACACCGGCTCAAAGTTGCAAGTTTGTTTTTTCCGCTCACAGGCAACAGGAGGGGGCGAGACGCTCAAAATTCAACCCGAAAATAGTCATATAACCACTGCAATAACTCTGAAGCTATTCAGTTAAGGTAAAAAAACTGCATAGTGCTGCTTTAAAACATAAAAGCCCAATCAATTAAAAGCTTGTCAAAATCAAAGTGTCTTCAGCTGCTTTTTAAAAGAATCTGAACTTGTCTGAGGAAGTGCATCACGTTTCCACAAAAACAAAGCAGCACATGTTTGTTTTATGTATTTACTGTACCATTGATAACAATAATCAGCAAATCAGCATATTCAAATGATTTCTGAAGGATCATGTGACACTGTGGCACCAGGGTACCACTCTACCACAGTATTTCTTCTGAGCCCAATATTATTGACAGATAATGGAGTGTGTAAGAGGGATTTAGTTAGTTTAACTGCACATCCGCAAAGGTAAGACTAAGAAAGAGGAAAGAAGGACATTTCACAGGATGTGCTGCCCTCTGTTGGTCACTGTCAACACTGCCTTTCAAACAGACACAGGAATATAACAACTATTTTTGAACTCACCAATAGGGTTGATGTCAAAGAAACGGACCGGGGTTTTCAGGATGCTGTTGAACATACGGCTGTGTAATGTCTCCGCTGATCTCACCAGACAGTTAAACATAATCAGACCACGCATGAAGCCGAAGATGATGGTGGCTCCTGTTAAGCCTGATGATGAAGAGAAGCAAAGACACACAATTTGGAGACATATGAAACATGTCTACATTTGTACTGTGGCTGACTTTGATCATGAGCATACCTGCATAGATGCCCAGATAGAAATCCAGGTTGAGGGTCTGAGTTGTGTTAGCGCCGTTTGTTAAAGTGATATTCGAGGAGTCCAGCTTCTCCTGCTCTGTGGCCCTATCAATCACAAAATAATAACATTACAGAAGCTAGTAACAACCAGAACATCACCACATCCACTCTGTATATCCAGCTATCAAGCACTACTTTAGGTTGTTTAACAAATTATCTGTGATTCATGTCTGGGGGCATTTTGATATCACTTAAATCTAAACATAACAGGAGGGTTAAGGCAAATAAATTGAAAGGTCATTTTAGGTGTTGAATTATTGAATTTTTAATTTTTGCCTACTTTGATTTAATTATTCTATACATTTATTAAGATACTTTTCAAACAATTTTAGAGTGACGCCACAAACAAGACTTCAAATTGAAAATGTGCACAAAAAAAGATATTTAATTGAATGAATATAACATATTGGCTATTGTTTTGAAAAATATATAATATAATTATATTTGTTTTCGAAAATCTTACCCATGTCATATTTATTTGATAACAAATACAGTAAAAGTTAAAATATATATTTTCCCATTTTAATCTATATTTTTTTAAGATGTAATGTACTCCATTACATAACATGTACTCCAGTCACATGATCCTTTATAAATCATTCCTACATACTGATTTTATGGTAAAGAAACATTTCTAGTGGGGAAAAAAAAATTAAATAACAATATTTTGTTAATGTAAAAGTCTTCAGTGCCACTGCCACTCTTGATCGATGTATTGCATATTGCGGGTGTGGGTGGGGCTTCAAATATGGTTGTGGACAACGAGGGGCCTTGAAGCCAAAAAGTTCCGATACACTGAGAGAATTTGCTGATTTCACATTTTAATAAATGGAAAAGTTGAGCTGCTTAACATTTTTGTGAAAACTGATGCATTTTTTCTGGATTCTTTGATGAATACAAAGTTGAAAAGAACAGTTTATTTGAAAAAGTAAAGACATTTCTAATGTTCCACAAGATTTCTATGACTTTTGATTGATTTAATGCTTCCTTGCTCAATAAATCTACATTTACTGTTTTAAAACTTTCTAACCCAAACTGTAGTGTAGTATGTGTGTGTGTAATGTACTTTTCAGTACATTAATGCGCTAAAAAAATGGTAGCTCAGCAGCAAAGAGCACTCACCAATATGAAAGCCACCAGTCTTGAAGGATGTAAAAAACCTATGGAGCAGAAAACCGCATTAGCATGAATCTCTATGTGCGAGCGATGGGTCTTTCAGTGTATAATTCAACCGCAGTAGCACTGCTATGCCTTTTACCTGTGCCAAAATGTTGAGGAGCACAACAAAAACCAACATGAAGGCGTTTGCTCCAGCTCGAAAATATTTCCAATACATGCGAAGACCAATAGTCCCCTCCGAGCGCGTCTCCTCGACCATGGTTTGCACATGATCCATCTACATATTACAAACAATTTTAATTGAAAATGTCTATGTTCATGATCAGACGCTAATTCAAATCCCACCAATCCACTAGATGAAGCAATCTGATCTGTAAATGTGAATGTACAGGGAAAAATCCTATTCCATATTCTATTCCTCACAATACTACCAGATGGTGGAGAAGTCAAAAGCACACCTACCGGCAGCTGGTCGGATTCATCTTTAACAGATTGAACGGATGAAGTTTGGGAACGACTGGAGTTCTGGGAGAGGGTCCGAATGCGGGGGGAGCGAGGAGCCTCTCCTTTTTCACTCCCACCCTCCTCTTCCTCATCCTTCTTCAGCAGAGAGGTGAAATCTACTCCCGACTGCTGGAGCTCAGAGTATGTGCCGCTTGCCACCATGTGTCCCTGAGAGAGATCAAATGATTACATTTCGGCTCATTTATTCACAGACGGTGGAACGCAAATTGAATGAAATGGCTCACCTCCTTCAAAACCAGGATCTGATCTGCAGCCTTCAGGAACTGCAGCTGATGAGTAACCAAGATCCTGGGCTTCTCCTTTAGAATACCACAAATACAACTGCAAGGACAATCATTGCTATTAATAATTCACCTCAAAGAAATATTAACATGACAGTGAAAACAATAACAATACTCTTGGTTCAAAAGTTTGAGGTTGGTAAGATTTGTTAATGTTTTTGAAAGAAGTCTCTTATGGCTGAATTTATTTGATCTAAAATATGGTAAAAATTAGCCTGGCTAACGCCACACCACGTATCATTGACTCGTATTTGAGGCGTGGATTATGAATGCCCGGAGCCATATTATTGGGTGCTACGAATGTACGAATCAAATGCACCAATCGGTTCAATGATACCAGATGACGTATGTAGAGCGACAGAAAACTAGACAAGGAAAAAGACGATGGGGCAGAGATTTAACGAAGCCTGTCTCTTTTACACGCCAGGTGTGGCTGCAGGTTTGGGTAAATAAAAGCAGGTCTCTAATAGGGGCCGGGTCTGTTTTTTAGTTTCGGGTTGTTAATTTATTGTTGTGAACTAAAGAAACACTTCAGAGTTGGACACGTCTGCGAAGAACTGATGAGCTGCATGCTAATATGAGCAGTTGACTCGAAAGGAGGAGCAAAATTAGTTATTTTTAATGGTTTCTTTTGGTTTAGGTAAAAAAGGTGAGTGATTAAGACTAATTTATTCACTTTATATGCTTTAGGCATGTAAAACATCCACGTTTCACATAATTAGTGTATACATGATATCATTGTGTGATTACATAGACAAACTGGTGAATCGTTTTTTTTGAGCCTATTCATTGAAACGAACCGTCCAAAAGATCCAGTTCAAGGAAAAGAATCAGACTTCCCATCACTAGTGTCATATGAACTACTTTCATGAAGCTTTTATGGTTTATTTGGCCCTTTATGGAGTTTGACCACCCCTAAACACTAAAAGCTCTTATTGTATGGAAAAGAACAGGGTGAAGAGCAACAGAAAAATGCAACAGGATCGGCGAAGAGCAAAGACTTACTGTTCAAACAGGTGTCTGCCCACTTCAGAATCTACTGCACTCAATGGATCATCCAACAGGTAAATGTCAGCATCCTGATACACAGCTCTAAAACCCACAGACAGTAACAGGTCTACATAAAAATCTAACAAAACAGCTACAAAATTTACACTTCCTATTAGCAAATATATGTCAGTTTGTTTATTTAGACAGGACTTGATTTTTTCCCACTATTTTATACATCTTACAAAATGTTATTGGTTACATTAAATGATCAGTATGTCCAAGATGCAGTCTTCTGAATATACATTATGCATTATATACATTATATATATTTCTTTGCTCACACTAATGTATCCGTAAAGGTTAGAAAGGGGCTATTGTTTAATTGTATTACTGAATAATGTTTGAGTTAACAGGTTGAGATACCTGGCCAGGTTGACTCGAGCTTTCTGCCCTCCACTGAGAGTTGCTCCTCGGTCTCCGATCACAGTCAAATCCCCATCGGGAAGCAGCTCCATGTCCTATACGACACACAGAGAACTACACTTTCAGTATACTACAGTTTACTTATAATAACTTTAGCTTTATGCTGGTGTAGATGTCAAATTAAAGTTTATATAGGTTTGGAGTGAGCTACAAATACTAAAACTAGTGCTGTCAATTTAAAGTTTATATAGGTTTGGAGTGAGCAACAAATACTAAAAGTAGAGCTGTCAAATTAATGTGATATTTGAAGGAAATACTGTTTTTTTATGCACTTAAATAACCCAGATACATAAATAGAAAATTACACAAAAAAGGCAAAATACAAAACAACAGCCAAATACATAACACCTACATGTGTACATAGACCAACAACAACAACAACAAAAAACTATTAAATTGCTTTCTTCTAACATAAAAGTGTAAGGTTCTTCAGGGGCTCTCAGCAAAAACACTACTTTTCTACTTTTCGAATGAATGAATAACTTTATTCAGTAAAGCTGCATTAAATTGATTGAAAGTAAGTGTAAATACATGTATGATGTCACAAAATAGATCCAAATAAATGGTGAACTTTCTACTCAAAGAATCCTAAACAAATATGTACCAGTGTCTACAAATATTTGTTTTTTTTTTTATAAAAATTTGATTTAAATAAAATGTACATAATGTATAAAATGTATATCATGTAATGTATAATATATATATATATATATGTTTATAACACATTCAAACGTTGTACAGAGCCCAAACTTTAAATGGTAGTGTAGAAAGTGTGTACTTAATTATTACAATTAAATAATCAGCGTATGTATTTAATTCATTTGCCAATCCTGATTAAAACAAAGAATAAAGAACCTAACTGAGAATTTAATCTGGAAGTAGATGGATAAGATCAGGACGGCAAGAGTGTGATGGACGAATAACTAATAAGCGTCTCACCCTTTTGAGTGCACAGGCTTTGAGGACCCTCTCATATCGCTGGGGCTGCAGCTCCTTTCCGAAGAGTATGTTGCTCCGAATGGTCCCTGGAAAAACCCAAGGCTGCTGTGAGGCATACGTCAGCTCACCTTTGACCTTTATAACACCCTTTTCTGCAGGAAGCTCTCCCAGAACAGAGCTGAGGAGAGAGGACTGCAGGATACAGGTCATGATTAGTAACTAATAACACATGATCATTATTTTAGGAAATTTTTAATTATTGTGACTGACCTTTCCAGCCCCCACAGGACCAATAACAGCCAGAAGTTGACCTGGCTTCACAGTAAAAGACAGATTTTGTAATGTTGGAGCATCCAGAGTCTGTCAAGTAGAAAGGCGAAAATATATTAGTCTTAACATGCCTAGGGGGAAAAGTGAAACCCTTTGTTACAACAAATTTCAATTAAAGCTGCAAGCAGCGATGCACCCGTGCTGCCGCCACCCGCCGGTTTTAGGAAGACAGAGCACGGTGGGCAGTATCTAATGATAATAAAATATAGGACGACTATGTCAAAGCATTTGTATTTGCCACACTTCCTGTTACCAGCAGGTGGCGCTATTGCTATAACCAAATATGAGCATGGTCATGTGTTCGGGACAGGACTCTTATCAAACATGTGAAGTTTGAGGCAGATCGGACATTGTATGCCTGACTTACTGCAGGCCGTCTGTGGTTGTCTACCAATATCGAAACTGCAAGCAATATTGAACTATATGACATATTCATGCACAAATCACCAAAAGGCTGAAATTGGGTGTACATTTGCCAGGCCGCCAAGGGAACACCCTTCGACGAATACTCAAGATCTTCACAATTTAATGTCGCAAAGGCCTTAAGATTACACTCCCCAAATTTAAAGAGGATCAGATCAAAACTGTAGGAGGAGTTTGTCAAAGTACAACATCAGAAAATGATGAAAAATGCACAAAATCTAAGAGGAAGTTCAAAATAGTTGACTTCCTGTTGTGTTGCTCCAAGAGACTTTTTTGTAGGTATTGTGTCATTACATGCATGTACCATATTTCATACCTGTACGTGAAACGTAGAGCCGGGGCAAAATTTGGGGGCAATAATTTAAAGAATTTCTTTTGAAATTATTATTTAACAAAGTATTTTGACCAAAAATGCAACAAATCAGCATATAAGAATTAATTTACTGAAGACTGGAGTAATGATGCTGAAAATTCAGCTTTACCATTAAAGGAATAAATTACATTTTAAATATATTAAACAGAAAACAGTCATTTTATATTGTAATAATATTTCACAATTTTACTGCTGTACTTTTTTTTATCAAATAAATGCAACTTTGGTGAGCAGAAGAGACTTCTTTTTAAAAAACATTAGAAAAATCATACTAAATAACTTAATAGGAATGCCTATTAACTAAACTAACCTAACCTAAACTAACTTTAGGGATGCGTGAGACACTACTGCATGCTTTTGACACTTCGCTTTTTGGATCAAGATTAAACTTCCACTGCTTGATTGGGCAATATATCAGCTTGTAGTTCTACATTTCCAAAAGTATAACTACGGGGAAGGTGTGTGTGTGCTTTATATATTTATATACACTGAACTCACCTTGTCCCAGTAGCACATGAGATCCTGAATCTCCACAGATGCCTCTTTCTTCTCCTCCTGAGAAAGGGGGGTGTTGGTTCTCACAAGCTCATCGAGCAAGAGGAACTTCTGCACGAGAAAGAAAAACCACAGACACTTATGATGTATGAACACAAGCTCATAAAAAATACGACTGCTGTAATAACACTGACAAGTCACAGTCTTCAGGAGTTTCTGTGGTTAACACAAATTAAGATTGTCCAGCAAGCAGAAGAAATTAGTACAGTGTGTTCAATTCACAAAATAATATCAATATAATCAGCTTTTTCTAAACGGACACTCCATGGTTACAAAATCTGCACGTTCATGTTGGACTTATGCAACAGTAGCTGCGTCAGTGGGAACTTTAGAATACATCTAAAATTAACCCTGAAAATGATACCTACTGTACAAGCACAACCAGAGGAGACAGAGATTTATATGCTATTACTTGTGGCAAATAGTCTTAACATTTCATTTATTTGTTATTTGTATTGAAAGTTGTACATGTGTGCTACATAAGTTCTGCTCATTTCTTTGTGCAAGATTGGGTTGGAAATATAGACACAAGAATCTATCTTTTAGTCTATGCTGGTTTTAGGTGTACTACTATGGGTGTATAAGTATATGGTGTACACGAACTGAGGCACCGGTAAGGACATTAAGGACACTGGATGACTACACATTTGGACCCTGATGGTGACAAGACATCACTACTTGTATTTATGAACAGCAGAACGGATCTTTTTCTAGCATGTTTTTATGTTAAATATTTTGATTGCTACATATACCTGTAACATCTTCAGCTTAGATTAATTATAAATGTTAGCTAGTTTATGCTAAGTAACTGTCTGGCCATGTATGTTTATGCTGAAATATAATTAAATAACATTTTTTTTAGTATGTGTTATTATGTGTAGTGATTTGCATCACGTGATATACATTTTGCGCTTCAAAACTTCTGGTAAGGGAACATAGTGAGCAACGATACTCCCTGGTTTTCACAGTGCATTGTGGGACTTGTTAGGGAGTGAACATTTTAGTGGACTGTAAGGATTTTGCAATTGATACAGCTCTTAAAATGGCCGACTCCCTGATCAGTGCTGATCTACTGAACTAGGGAGCTGATTGAGACGCATTATTTGTAGCGCAGATTATTTGTAAGGAGCGATTTAGAGAGACTGATTCTTCTGTAATGTATATATTATGAGAAAATTTTAACCTTTTTTTTACCTAATGCATGTAAACCTGTTGTAGGAGACCTCCAAAACAAACTTAAATTGATACTTCACCTCTGGAAAGGTGAACGTGTATTTAAAATGGGTCATTTATGTAGAAGAAATATGAAATTATTTTGAATTTGGAGCTTTCTAGAGTGAGAAAAGCCAGTGTTTTTTTTACACTACAAAAATGTATTTTTGGCTTATGTGGACGAAAGACAACAACTCCCAGAATGCACTTGCTTCGCCGCCCTAGGAGGCTACGCCTACCACTAACAGAGCGCAGTAGTTAAACAACAAGTTTAGGCTACTAGTGAGTCTCCGCGATGAGTCTGCCTGAAAATGTGCATCAATATCGGCCAAAATGTCCGTGATTCGGCTTTTGCTTTCTACAGTCGCCATTCATTATGTTTACTGTGGCGAGCAGGACAAGTGAGGGCCGCGGGAGAACGGCGCATAATTATTGATGAGCGACACCTGTGAGACGCACCGGTCTCGAATCTCTCACAGAGGAGCGGGAATATTCGTAGCAATGTTAAAACGCACATCAACCGATCACTTGTTTAGCGTTCATGTAAACACTACATTCAGATTCACCAATCGGAAAGAATTCAGTTAGATTGAAACAAAAACTGTGCATGTAAATAATGAATGGCGAATGCAGAAAGCAAAAGCTGAATCCCGGACATCGACGACGGACATGTCCAGGAAAAAGAGGACGGTAACCCCTACTACTCGGCTTTCTCCACAGAACAAGAGCCTGCTAGCTTAGCTTCCAAACAAAGATGGCTGACACTATGTGTTTATTCTGTGAGTGAGATCGCCCTCTATGGGCGGGTTGAGAACATGCGGGACAGACCCTACTACTGACTGTAGTCTTTAGCCAAAAAATCCTCAGATGATGCAAAATGATGATTTTTGCGTCATCGGAGGATTTTTTCCAGACAAAAAAATTACTTAAATCTCTTGTCTCAGGGGGATATGAGGGTGGAAAGCATAATTCGGTAATTCGAAAATACTACACGTTTTCTACTAATACAAAGCTTAATCCTAAATCCAGAAGAATCCCTTTAAGAGCCTTAAAATAGCATAATAGTGGTGCTTTAAAATTGAACCAAATCTTGTGTCAATGCCCAGGCCCTACAAGTTTTTATTTGGTTTTGCCTAATTTTTTGCCATCAATACATTAATCTTGCAATACACCTTCCTTGACACCATGTTGCATGTTAGTGGCATCCATTTATCAACTTGGAAAATTACATTTTTGATTAAATTTGTCAAATCTCAAGCATAAAATAATAGTCATAAAAGAGATGATAAACACATTGCATTGTGGGATACAATATTGTGTAAAATGCTCTAGTTTTCCTTTTCGAGATTGTAATAATTTCCATGACTTTCCCAGAAACAGTTTTGCTAATGATAGAGGTTGTACCTTGATCCTCCGGATGCTGATGGCAGTCTCAGACACTTTCTCGATAGCAGAGGGGAAGAACAGAGTAACGGTGAGGCGGACGGCACTGTAAAGCGACACGGCCACAAACACACGACTGGCAGAGATGGTGTTGCCCACTAGCACGTACACGGTGAAGGTCACAAACAGGATGATTTTATTCGCCGTGAAGAACGAGGCCATGTTCAGCCCACGGAGGTAAGAGCTATTCATGATTTTTGAGATCTCCTTCCTATAAGAAACGAAAAAAATAAGAGCTTTATCCACTCATGCCCAACAATCAAAAATATATTTTGTCCTAGAGCGGGACGGCCCTGCATGGTGCTTCACAAGGTCGGTTTGCACAGTAAAAATTCATTCGGTCTTTAAAAAGACAGATCAAATGCAGAACCACAGATAAGATTACAAGAAGCATAGCTTGTGGGACTGAAAGGTTAAAGCTTATCCGAGACGTCATGGCTTCTAAATGTAATACACATTATTAAACACTTTTAGTCAAGTTTTTGACATGCTGTCATTTACTGAGCCACGTTATGAAAGAACGTGAACAACCGGTTCTAGCGATGTGATGTTTTGGTATTGGATTGTGTATGCTGTGTATTCTCTTCTATTATCAGTTTCATATTCATGTCAACTACTGCCAAGGCAGAACAAGAGTCTTAGGAGACTTTTGCTGAGAAAGTTGGTTAAACTGGTAAAACCATTTATATAGTGTCACATGAATAACAACAAATCCAGTTTAGTTTTCCTTGATTGACCTAAGATTTTACAGACCTTCAAAAGAAATAATCAAAGCTCATAAATGGCTGTGTGCTGGCTTCTGCTGACCCATGTTAGGGCCAGAGGCAGTATAATAAGACTAAATAAGCCCACAGTATATAATTTACCTTCGTACATCAGTAACCAGCGCTGCAAATGGCTTCTCCCAGGCGTACATCTTAATTATACGTATACCAGATACCACCTCATTCATAGTGCGTATCCTATTGTCAGTTAAAGCTGCGGTCTTACTCCTGTGAGAGAGAGAGAAACAGACAGTGTGAGACAGAGAGAAAGAAAATGTTTTTGGGCTATATTCTAAACATAAAGGGTGATACTGCAAAATAAACTTCTTAAAATTAGGTTTCATCTTTGTTAAAACACATTGCACAACCTAGAATTGGATCTGACCATGGCCTTGCTCAACATTGAAATTGATTTTTTATATTGTGTGAAATGTGTGCAGGAACATTTTTACAAGGAAATGAAAAAGTTGGATAAGCTTTGGACTTGCTTAACTTCTAAAAATACGAGAGATTCTGAATTTAAATATTTAAATAATAATGATTAAGGTTTCAGATTATGATGTGAAAATGTTCATACTGTCAGTCAGAAACTCTGAAATATTCCACCTTTTATCTCTCAAGTATTTATCATAATATTATGCATGTATTATCTTTCCTTTAAAATCATATTACGTGACACAAAAGTTCCTCTAACTCAAGAATCATATGGAGTAGAAACCTGAACTCAGACCTCACGTAGAAAGAGTGCATAACCCCAGGAGGAAAGAGCATGTGGTTTAATGTGTGACACTGACTCATCATATTTGAGCACTGTAGTGAGAAAAAAGTTCTTTGTGCTTTTAATAATTTCCAGATAACGTAAATCTGTGCTTGTGTGAAAGATTAACATCGAAACTAATTTTTGAAAAACTAAAATAAATTACAGCTCATTCAAATTTAAAGGGCCCAGTTTTGCAGATGTTTTTAAGAGATAATTAATGTGTTTTACATACGATTCTGATGTGTACATGACACTACATCTTGTGACTGTGATTAAACCTTTCAATTTCTCACGATTCCTTTTTTTCTGATCCGATTAAAAAAAAGATTCTCTGTCAGGAGTAATCCTGAGATTGTACCTGTACTTGGAAAACAGTTTCCCAAACATGGTCTGAAGTGGCATAAGAAAGAGCAAAACTGCCATGCCTGCAAGGCATGATGGTCCAATCTCTTGCCAAAGCAGACCAATCACAGCTGCGGCTTGAAGAGGTCCTACCCACAGGAAGTGCAGAAAAATAGTCACCTGGGAATACAGACATAAACAAAACAGCACACAATTATTTCATTATCAAAAAAAAGTACTATTTTATTACCATGGGGTTTTGATGTGGCACTATAGCAACACCATGTTTGTTTTGGGGCATTTACCATTCAAAGATTTTAAACATTTATTATTACTCCAGTCTTCTGTGTAACCATCCTTCATAAATCATTCAAATATTTTGTTTTGATGCTTAATTTTAACAATCTTGAAAACAATTGTGCTAATACTATTTGTAATAATATTTGTGGAAATAGTGATGCATTTTTTTCAGGATTATTTGATTAATAAAGTTTTTAAAAACAGCATTTATATAGAACCTTTTTAGTACATTTTCAAATATCTTTACTGTCACTTTTGATCAATTTAATGCAGCCTTGCTAAATAAAAGTATTTTTTTTATATATACTAAAAAAATTATATATATATATATATATATATATATATATATATATATATATATATGAAGAGTTCAGATGCAAAAGCCTCTAAGTGACATTTGAAATTTTCTTCTAGAATGATCATTTTTATCAAGCTCGTATTTTTAAGTTCAGTAATTTCACTTAAATGGCAATGAAGATTACCTATTAATTGTCATTTAAGTGAAATTACTGAACTTAAATATACGAGCTTGATAAAAATTATCATTCTAGAAGAAAATTTCAAATGGCACTTAGAGGCTTTTGCATCTGAACTCTTCCTATATATATATATATATATATATATATAAATTATATATTATATATATTTCCCCCCCAAAAGAAACATTCATTCTGGATGCCATAATAAAATGCATCAGTGTTAATTTATTTAAGCTTTTAAAGATTGGCACACAATGACGCTTACATGTCATGTTCATATGGAAATAATTTAGTGTAATAGTTGGAAATACACAATGTACTGCATTTGAAGTACTTTATTTTAAACAGCCCAAGAGATTATTTTAGAATCAACAAAAGGAGCTTGAACTTCAAAAGAGCTAACTTTGGCTAACACGGCCTGAACAAAAACAGCACTTCCTGTAATTCTTCATTGAACCCCTCTGATGTCTGCTGGTGAATACAGGAGAAACGCCTCAATGGACAAATTTAAAGCAATGACATTCCTACTTTGATTAGACAGAATAACTGCTCAGCAAGAACGTACATGGTTAAAAAATATGTTGTGTGGTTTACCGAGCTTTATTAGATCTGTAAAATAATGTTGCATGCCACAAAGCCAACATTTTACATAACTGTCCATCACATAATGTTGAGACATGATAACTTATCTGAGGGAAACTCCACTTAATTGGCGAGTTATGATATCAGAAACCACAATGAATAAGTACAGTTTAAAACTGTTCAACTAATCATTTTAATTTCCCAATGATCTGGAGCCTGGCTGTAAATGCACAAAAGGTTGAGACTATTTTTTTATTTCCCCTAGTCCTCTGAACGCTGGCCAATCTGTTACCCACCCGGTAACACAAAGCCCTTTAACTGGAAATTAAACAATTCCCTGACTAAACATGTGCCAAGTCCAATTCTTATAAATAAATACACTCATAAAGACCTGCTTCAAAAACAGGAAATGGACAACCTGTGACCATAACACTTAAGAGGAAGACAAAGAAGTTATGGAAATTTCCTACCTCATCAAACTTGTTGACGTCATTCGACAAAAGGTTAACAATCTGCCCTGTGGTGGTCTGGCCCATAGCTGTGGCGCTAAGGCACAGCGCCTGCAAGAAGAAAAGATTCCAGAGGTTTGTAGGAGAAATTGTGATAAGGAATTAGCCTCAGTTCAGCCAAAAAAAACAAAAAAAAAACTAATAATAATAAAATAATTTGTATCGCTTACATCTACAGACATATCATTTAAGATGTGATGCACTCACAAAATAAAAGTACAAAGGAGTTTATTGGACCGTTCTTTGAAATTGGTACTACCATTTGATACCAACACTGGTACTACCTTGGCAACACTTCAGCACTTTGTTTTTGGAATGCTTTTAATTTTTCAAAAGAAAATCTTACCTTCCTGTAGATCATGTGACACATTGCAATGCGGATTTTCATTCCAGCTCTTAGGACGTGGTAAAAGTAGAGGTGGTGGAGTAATGCCAGAAACAGAGTGGATAGAGAGACACCTGCTGCAAATCCATAGGCTTTGTATAAAGCTGGCATGTCCTCGGGGTCATAGTTCTCAAAATACCGAATGAGTTGTCCCAAAAACACTGGTTGGATCACCTTGATCACCTCCTATAATGTGGAAGAGAATAACATCAGATAATAACAATGTAAAATAATTGATATTTTGTCCTGTTCTACATGCGTACAGTATAGGGCTCTATGAAATCTGTATATTTCCCTCTATACACTTTTTTTATTGCATGCTATTGTGTGAACACAAAATTACTGGAATGCATAGTTGATTTAAAAAAAAATTGGATGACAAGTAATTTCCTAGTACTTGATTTTGAAAAAAATCTAATTATTGGACCAAAAACCAAGGGGGTAATCCATCGACCGGAAGTTGAAGCCTCGCGGGAGCTGCCATCTTGTAGCAGAACTTCACTTGTGTTAGCATTCCGATTGACTCCCATTCATTTTGGCGTCACGTTGACAGCGAATAACTTTACATCTGAGGCGTTTGAAGACCCCATTTGTCCTTTATTTATTTCTAAAGAAACGCAACAATGTATAAAATGCTCCATTACCTTGTAGCTTATGTTATGGCCCCGTAGAAGCAGTTTTAGTGAAAGTAGGCTAACGTTTGCGTCATAACCAAGCGACTCTCTGTTGCACAGTAGAGAGATCACCGTATGGACAGGAGAAGAAGCTCGAGGGCAATCGGGGAAACGTGGAGGCAAAATGACAAAATAATTAACCAGAACACCTAGCAAAAGTGTCTCCTGCTCCAAGCTAATGGACAGCTCCTATTCACACTCTCCGCCTCTGCAAGTTTCAGAAGGGAATGATTCAGATTTCACACGCCACAGCCACTAGAAGACAGTGACATCCATTTTATGACTGGATTCTGTTTTTTCTGAATCATGGAAATCATAGGGGCTAGGGAAGGGCGATATGACCAAAATCTTATATCACGATGAGAGTAAATTTATTTAATGATAACGATATATTTATATGAAGAGCTCTTTTCCAAAACGCTATAAATCCATTTCAATAGTTTTCAGGAAAACTACATTTTTTACCTAGACCCACACATTTTGTGAATATTCAAATTATCCTGTTTAAATGTTTTATTGGTTCAGTCTGAACATTTTGAACAATAATTATTAAATCAAACAACAATATTGTTAATGATAATTTAAAAGTTAATTTTATTTTTTTCCAAAACGCTATAAATCCATCCATTTTTTGTATCATTTTTAGTAAAGTCATTTTTAGTAAAGAGTCAAACCTCAAACAAATAGTACCAATTTCAACATATGCATGAAAAAAAACGAATTATTAAAAATGATAAATATGAGAACGATATTCAAAAAAGGGATGGGCACCCCTCCAGCACATGCACACACACACAGGCTACATAACATGTGAGCAAAGCGGAGCAGCATGACGCTTAAATATAAGTTTAAAAAAAAATAAATAAATAAACATAAAATATACGTTTCACATTTGTTTTTAATAATATTACATTACTTATTTTTATTATTTCATCTATGTTAAGTAGGCTATGAAAAGGGAACCGCATGAGATGAGTAAGATAGGATCAAAATTCAAAAGCTGCCCAATATCGGAAAATATTTGGAGTGCGTCAGACATGATTTTGACCACTAAAGTTTTGTTTTGTAGAAAGCTTGTAAATTTCGTTTCATATAAATTGTATCTTCATTTTAATAAATGTTTCATCGACAAATTGACTGGATTAATACATTAGAAGTAAATATCAGACAATATAATCAGGACACAGAGGCGCGCAGGTGAACCGGAGCGCGTCTCAAAATATGAACCGAAACACTGCGATGCTTGCCTCACACAGGCCTGAGAACTAAGCTACAGAAAGCTTTAAATATATACTTTTAAACAAAACAATTAAAAACTAAAATAAATTGGCAACTCTCTGCGTATACGTAGGCTAATTCGAAGTATGCGTTTCTCTCTATAGGCCTATGCGCGTTCACTGCGAAGATGGCGAATAAGCATCATCAACTTTATCTTTGTTGCTGACACTGACAGAAAACACTAGTTTATTAATAAACAATTCAAATGTTTCATGCATAATCATTACTTTTGCCGGTTCTTTGTGGCAAGCTTTATGCATACCCCAGCTGGCATTTTAACGTTGATTCACCGGTGAAACAACGTCAGGGACCAAGGTTGGATCAACATTGGATTATGTTTCGATTTTGCAAATCTAATCAACGTTGATTTTGCAACGTTGTTTCACCGTTGACATCATGAATGTTGTTTCACTGTTGATGTCGCGACGTTGTTTCACGATCTCTCCTTTCAATATTGGTGAGTAAAAGTTGTATGTCGAAGTTAAACCAACATTTAATTATGCTTCGGTTTTGCAAATTGAATCAACGTTGCTATCGTGATATTGTTTCAGTCTTACCTTTCAACATGGGAGAATACAATTATACATTAAATTACAACGTAGTTTGAATACACGATCATAACAATGCTAACTGATTTAGTGATTAACTGTACATACTGTAGTCTACACTAAAACATTGTTTATGTCAAATGACTGACAGCAATGGCTTGAAATGCGGAATAGGCTATTAAAAACGCTCATATGGTTTCTCTCCCATTTAATTAAATCAATATATGTGATTACTGATAATACAAATGGCTTAAATGATCTACTAGCTACTAGTCGACTAGAAAACTAGGACTCATTTTGAGGAATAAATGAACATAATAAACCTCTGTTCAGAGTGCCGCCGTGCTGGATTGTGTAGAGCGCTCATTGAATTTGAGGATTTATCGTGTTTAGGCTAAAAACAGGGCTGGCGCTTATTGCGGCTTGGAAAGAAACTGTATCTTGCAGTACATTTTAAACAAGGAAATATAGCGATTTGGCATGAAACGTTGATGGTGCAGTGAAAGGGTTCTGTCCACAGCAGAATGACACGACAAACTCATTTTTTTTTTAAATGGCGTTTATCGCTTTTTGGAAAAGAGCTCTTCATATATCATTCACACAATATAGTCATTTTTGCCTTAAAGGGTTAGTTCACCCAAAAATGAAAATTCTGTCAGTATTTACTCACCCTCATGTTGTTCCAGCCCCGTAAGACCTTCGTTCATCTTCGGAACACAAATTAAGATATTTAAGATATTAAGATCGCTCCTGCATACTAGTCCATAGGCTTCTTGAGGGACTGGCTCTTGCTGTCCTCGAAAAGTCATTAAAGACATCGTTAAAATAGTCCAAGTGACTACAGGGGCTCAATCTTAAGTTTATCAAACGACGAGAACACTTTTGTCCGCAAAAAAACAACAAAAATAACGACTTTATTTCAACTATTCGTTTATTTCTCCCTCTGCGCGAGTCAGGTTACTAGTTTAATAGCGTAAGCTTCTGTTATTGTACGTCACACGCATCACACACATGACCAGCGTCGGCCAATAGTGAGCCTACGTGTGACGTAGCTCTACGCTATTACACTACGTTAACTGACTACAGGCTCATGGAGAAGGAAGTGAATAGTTGAAATAAAGTCGTTATTTTTGTTGTTTTTTTGCGCACAAAAGTGTTCTCGTCGTTTGATAAACTTAAGATTGAGCCCCTGTAGTCACTTGGACTATTTTAACGATGTCTTTAATGACTTTTCGGGGACAGCAAGAGCCAGTCCCTCAAGAAGCCTATGGACTGTATGCAGGAGCGATCTTAATATATTAAATATCTTAATTTGTGTTCCGAAGATGAACGAAGGTCTTACGGGGTTGGAACAACATGAGGGTGAGTAAATACTGACAGAATTTTCATTTTTGGGTGAACTAACCCTTTAAATAAACTTATATCAAAATGTATGATACCATTGAAATTTCATAATTCTCATCACTAATTTTGACGTCACAAAAAACAAATACTACCAAGTAAAACAAAACTTAAGCAAACAGACTGATAAAATAAGACCAAAGAATCTAATTACACGCAATAGGGAAAAACCCTGGATGTCTGATCACTCTTTCTTGGATCTCATGGTTGTGCTTCAACTCAATCTTCTATAAACACTCTTAAAACTGACTCCTGTGTGATGCACTTCAGGTGACTCGCGGCAAGACGGTGAATCATCAACTGAATTTATAAGATGTGATGACTTGGTTTAAAAATTAAACTAAATGTAGTCTAAATACATACCAGACTAGTAGTTAACTAGAGGGGGGGGGGGGGTTACTGCCTTTACATTGTGTACCATTTACAAAGAGAACATCATCCAAAGTCCCAGAACAGAACGTACCTCTATAAGAGTGAAGACTCCCAGTACTGCATAAGATTTCCAGTAGCACCTGATAATGGCTTTGGTAAGTTTGGGTGTCCTGAGTTCTTTGGTTGCTTTCTCCACTTCTTGGTCCCAGCAGCTGTTGAAAAAGAAAAAGATGAGGAAGGCTAAATTAACAACGCTGACAAAGAGAGAGAGAGGATGTCATAAAACAATCTGAGGATTATAAATCTCCTTTATTACCTACATTGTGTGATCTCACATATAATAACGATATGATTACTTCAACATATGAACAGTAAACTTGTTCACTCCTTGTCCACAAAATAATTTAACTATGAAGACATTTGTAACATTAAAAATCTTAATTCTTTATGACTTGTCAGCTTGATAGAATTTTTTTTAGACCAATCAAGGTCCAGTCCAGGACCCCAAGGGCCACCCGGTGAACAGGTAACATAAGATGGGTATGTACGCAACATGATATATGTGTACATAGAGCATACAGTCCATATGAAAAACAGCATGAGCAACATTCAAAGCACATAAGAAACAAAACCGGAGCAGAAACTACGGCATTTCTAGCCAAATCGGGGAAAACTACTAAAGCTTCTTCAAAACTGCTGAGACTCTTCAGTTGATGTTTTCCAGCAGCAACGTCCGGCAGTAAATTCTCCATCTGCAAATAACAGTTTACTTCAAGGCAGAACATTTGTGTTTACACCACGGCCCCATCGCTCTCCATGCTGCTGATCGCAATAAAAGCTTCACTAATTAGTGTCATAGCCCAGAGCTCTGTGCTAAACGAACAAGAAATGATCCATTTTAAAGTGCATGATTAGAGGCTAGAGAAACGCTGTGTGGAGGTGCTTTTTAATGAACGACGGGATTGTCTTCATCTTCATTCATTTCGCTTTCACGGCTGGAGAATATGATTATATGGGAATTTTGTGGCAGACAGCAGATTATCTGTGGTTTTGACTATTGTGCAAAGGGTCAGCGAATCCTTCATCTGCTTATCTGTTCTTGCATAATAAAAACTTAAGGTGAAGAAAAACCTTCACTAAAATGATAGATTAATCTAACATAATTAGATTTAAAAACAAAAACATGATATATGTGTATTATTTGCTGTGTGAAAAATTAGTATCAAGACTAAAAAATAACAAATACAGCCATGAAATCTTGGATAGCACAGTAAGAAACATCCATGAAAACAGAAGTAAGCCGTTTTACTTCTGTAATGTGACATTTCTGAATGAAACCGGATATTCAATGAGCAAAAAAAAAAAAAAAATGTATAAGATAAAACATGACATTGGATAAGTAAAAGGGAATTTAATTTACCTGATGGTTCAATACCAGAACATAGGCAAACCACACATGGGTTTGACTCCCAGCGAATACATGAACTGATAAAAATGTTTATACCTTGAATTCAGTTTAAAGGGATAGTTCACCCAAAAATGAACATTCTGTCATCATTTACTAACCCTCATGTCGCTCCAAACCCATTCGTACAGCTTTGGAACACAAATTAAGATATTTTTGATGAAATAAAAAAAAAAACTAATCCATATGAATTGGGCGGTTTAGTCCAAATGTAAGTTTAAATCGCTTTCAGATAAGTGTCAGCCAAATGCACAAATGTAATGTAATGAGAAGTTATGAAATGGCTGCATTTCATAGAAGCAAAGAAAAGATGTTTCAGAGGTGGTCCAGTTGGTATTTGAATTAAGTTTACACAGACAAATTGTTTGCAATAACACAGGGACCCTGTTTTTAAGTTACAGTAAGTTAATGTCTGATTTCACGTTGACTTTATCTTCTGTGTAGCATTTTATATCTTTTTTTGCATTAATACAGTACATAAAAAGAGTATTATGATTATTTTACAAAGTAATATAATATTTATTCAAATGCTTCTGTTCAATCACTATTATTTTTACGCAGGTTATATACATTACGGTGGTTTCTAGTTTTGCATTCACTGTTTAATTAGATAAATACTTCTCTGGGCGAATACTGAATTGAGTTCCTTTTAATGTCTTCTTGCACTTGAATGGTTAAAAATCACTTTTAGGTTTAAATTGGCAAGACACACACATGCAAATGACAACCTTCCAAATTATGTGTGACTCAACAGAATATGAGTGTTGCTTAAAGAGGAACCATTACGCTTTTTTTGCATGTTCAACTTTCTTTAGTGTGTGATGCTGCTGTTTGAGCATGAAAAAGGTCTGAAAATGTACAAAGTACAAAGTCCCACCAAAGCTTGTCACGACTGTTTCCCGAAACCATATTGTCGCAATTTGGTAGTTCAACCATGATGTCACACACGTCGTGTAATAACATCTTTTAATGAATCTGTTCCAATTTTTGTTGGAACTATGGTTTCGGGAAACACAGACTTGTTGAAATATGCTGATAATGATGGAACTTGCTGCGACCATAGCTTTTGGTGAACACATTACTGACAGACAGGAAAGAGAGGTGCTACTAAAATGTAAAATATGTGACAAATAAGTTTTTTTGAACATTCATGAATGAAAACCTACTCCAGTATACCCCAAAAACTAAACAAGACTTTGTAAAAAGGCATAATATTGCCTCTTAAAAAAAATCCTAAACCCAAATACTACATTTTAATGTGTAACTTAAATTGTCCGACGCCTTTTGTGCTACAAACATGAATGATCATCAAATCATGTGGCTTGAGAAAAGGTGTTTTCTATTGCTTTTCTAAGTGCTCTGATATTTTCACCTGGCCGATTATCCAAGGAAACTTTTTTTTTGGCTTCAGTGACAGCCTTCCATAGCAACCTCTTCCAAGGCACAGTTGTGGTATTCCTTGTGGATTTTGAACCTACTGTAAGGTTTCCTGGGTTACCAGACCAGATCTTAATCCACTAAGTCATGTGCCCACCCAGAGATCCTTCTAGAAGTACTAAAACAGTCCCATTCTTTCATTTTAATTTGCATTTATCATTAAGGTGTGAATGACTTTCACAAGAAGTCAACATTGCGTAATGCACTCAATGCACAAACGTTGGGAGCATCACCTTTCCAACATCTAATGGGAACCACACTAGCCTCATATTTCACCATAAGTCTTCTGAGGGCTCGTTTGAGAACAGCCTGTTGTTTAATCGGTGTATTCCCAGCGGTTCACTCACCTCTGCAGTTTCTCCCCGAGTATCTTGGAACCGTCCTCCGGAAGCACTTTAAACATGTCATCTTCTTCAAGTCTTCTCTTAGATCCGATACGGAAAAGAGGGTTCAGCCAGCTGATTGAGAAGAGAAAAAAAGGATTTGGTCAAAAGAACGCTTTAAAGGTGTGTGAAAAAGGATGCTGAATTATTGATGAGTGATGACAGGAGTGTAAAGTGTACAAAGCACATGTTTTATGTCAGTGAAAGCAGTAATTAAACAAAACCAACACACATGCAGGTAGGCAATCTCTTTAAAATGACAGTAACAGATGCTCTCCTCTATCAGCAAAGAGTGTTCATGAGAGTCAAGGGTTTGAAAGCAAAGCCTAAAAACCACTCTGACTGACATTACAGCCAAACGGCAGATGACATGACGCTTCATTTTTTCAAAACTAGGCTATCAAGTTCAAATAATACCATTTTGCAAGATGTAAACAACACTGGTCCAGAAACACTTCCTGTTTCAGTTTGTAACTGTTTTCTTTATTTCACATGTAAAGAAAACATCTTAAAGATGTTTGTTTAACTTTTTGATTCAGTTTTATATGTTCTGTTGGTTGTATTTTATCCCAGCTTTTATGTAGTGTTCAAAAAACTGAAACAGGAAGTGCTTCTGGACCAGTGTTGTTTACATCTTGCAAAATGGTCTATACTAAAATGTGACTCAATTGTAAGTAAACCTAATTTCAATTTCTAAAAGTCAATTTCAAATATTTTCTGATTAATAAAAATGCCTACCAAAGGTGGTGTAACTGTTCAGAGATGGCAACAACAAAAAAATCAAATTAAAAGGCATGTTTTTTTGTTTGATTTAAACTTTAATTGTATCATTTCTTTTCTTTAAAAAAAAAAACAGTCGAGAAATTCTACTTTAAAATATTATTTGAAAGACTTTTATCCAACAATTCAAAGTCAGTCTGGTGTTACCAACAAGCAGGTAAAATTATTTCGCCCCGTAAAAAGAATGTAATTTGAAATATTAACCTAATATCTAGTATACATTATATATGATGAAGAAATTAGAAAGTAATTATAAATGTTGTTTAGAAATGTCTTGAACCAACATGAATAAAGTTAACTAAATTTTATGATCAGTGTGAAAAGCTTTAATAGATAAGGTTAAACTACTGATCTTTAGTTTGAAACTATAACGTTACACACATAATAAAACTATAGCCACAAAGGTTAAAACATCTGTAGGCTTTAAATTTCACAACAGAAAACACAAAACAGCCTATAAACTGATCTCCTTCCCCTGTCTAACGTTAGATTCGTAAAGGCTTATAACGTTACCAGAAAAATATCTGTGAGAAGAGATTAGCTGTTGCAGCAGGGTTGCTTTTCGCATCTTTGTTTATTGGCTCCATGTCGTTCGCCATCCTCCCTGCAGTTCAGCTGAACACTGGTACTCCACGCATAACCTGCTGCCAGTCCTAAACGTTCATTGTATAAACTGTTGTGTAACTTTCTAACACGCACATGTCAATGTCGAGTATGCTACGACAGGAGGAGGTAAACCCTTCATTTCCTACTGTGGCACAAGACAAGAGCCCCGCCCTAGCAGCTTGGTTCACTCTGATTGGCTCACTCAAGCTCTCAAGGCGTTAATAGGAAAGGCGTTAACATATTATTTAACACACTTTTTTTTTTTGGCTAATTCAAGCTAATTTATCTGACAGTGACGAGATTACAAATCCCACTATGGTGAAGAACTATCTCATGAATATTAATTAAACATACCTGCATTGCTTGGTCACCCTCCTAATACCAACACCGCCCATTTAATATCCTTGACTTTGCTAACCAATCAGACCAACTAGTTGAACGTTATCTAATTAATATTTATGACTCAAACCTTCACCGTAGTAGGATTTGTATTTTCTTTGAGGATCGGATTCGGCAAGAGTATGAGATTAACCGTAAACCAACTCAGGAGGAAACAGCAGATTTTCAGAAAATTGCTGTGAGGTACAATTAGTGAAGGATTCAAGTTTATGTTTATTATTTTTTAAGCAAGTTAAGCAAGAGATGTTGCTAGCTACATTTGTAGCTTTGTGTTATTGTGGATGAGGAGGCTTAGTGTCTACCATCTGTTCTTTATTAGCTCTGCATACACAACCCACTCATGCAGTGTGCTGGAAGCAATCATCTTTAATTAGAGTGTCTAAACAGAGGAAAACAAAAAGATACACAAAACAAATGTAGTCTTTTTAACTTATAGAATGTTTCGAAATGAAAATCATTCATTCCTCATGTTGTTCCAAACCCATATGATTTTTTTTGTCTTCTGTGAAACACAAATGGATACATTTTGAATAATGTGTTCTTCTCCATTCCATACAATTACAAAAAATAGGTAGGAATTAAAGTATAAAACAAAAAAGTATCATACACAATTTCATCTGACTATTCCAATTCTTCTCGAACACACCACAATTAACTAACAATTCAAAAGAAAATTTTGTTCACTAAACTTTGAATTTTAAAGCTGGCCTATTATGCCCCTTTTATAAGGTAAATAAGTTTTACATGTCCCAATAATGTGTTTGTAAAGTTTTAGCTCAAAATACCCCACAGATCATTTATTATACCATGTTGTAAATGCCCATTTTTGAGTGATGCTGTTTTCATGCATGTGTCCTTAAATGCAAATGAGTCGCTGCGAGAAGAGGGTGGAGCCTGCCTCCAATACTCTGCCAAAAGCTAAAACATCTGTTCTTTTTTATATGATGTAATTTGAATCAAGCAACAAAAGAAAAACTGAAAATCACTCACTGCTCTTGATTGAATAACGTAGTAGCTTTAATAAGAATACATCTCTTGAATTCTGCTGTTAAATGGTGTGGATGCTTACTCGGGGTCTATGCTAATAGGGTCCATCAGCAGTCGTGGCATCACAAAAGCTACAATCTGCAAACACTTGTTTTGAGACACTACTTATGATTTATGGGGCTTAAAAAAGAGAATGGGTGGATATTACCATTATGGTGATGTGTACACTCTCTGCCGACACACATATGTTCAAACACCATGTAAAAGTAAATTTTGCACAATAGGTCCCCTTTAAATCATGACCAACAAGAAGTACATGTAACTCAATCACAAATCAATCTCATTCCTTTTAAAGAAACACACTGGATATATGTTCAATCTCTGTCTTCCTTCCTTTATCTCTCTTTCTTTGTCTCTCTTTCTTGGATTTCTGATATAGATAAAGCATGTAAGAATAGATGATGAGACCCACAATGATACAGGGCAGGTGGCCACTACACTGATAAAGGTAATGCTGACAGACACAGACCCACACACACATACACACACGTGAGAAGGGAGGCCTTATACTGAGCCAAAGCTGTACATTAGGAATGATTGACTACCATACCATGCTCTGTAAAGCCTAACTTGTTGAGTCATTATTACTTTGCTTAATGTTTTATGTGAACTTTACTCCAAAGGTAACTATTTACCTTTGCTCAGGTTGAGTATCATAAATTATATTCTTCAGAGTTATGTAACTCCAATTTGTGTGGTGTAAAAATACAGTTGTAGCAAGGTTAGACTTAGTGGGAAGAAGGTGGCGGGAACCAGCGAACATTCAAAAACTTTAATGAACATAAAATAAACGAATACAAAATAAAAGTAAAGATAGCAGCCCCTCACGGACGATTGCTGTCACATATAACAAAACCAAGCGGCAACATTCTAATCTGAAACATACCCGGAAGTGCGGAAAACTGCAATACATCTAAAATCCACTAGAGGGAGGTCCCAAAAGGAAGCAAATGTCCATAGACCCCATGTTAAAATGTCCGTTTTCACAGCATAAATTAATGCTTTTACAGGTTGGTCCCATGGACTTTTATTGTATTTTTCAATAGATTCTGAGTGCCTGACAACTGTGAGAGGGGTGATTTTTTTCTAACTCGTTAGTTTAGATCATATTTAGATATAAAATGTATGGCAAATAAGGGCAGTTAACTTTGATTGACAGCTGATAACGGGCTGCGCCGAGTGGAATTTGACGTCTCGGCCATGATCTGACACAACACATCATACCGCCTCTGTATCCTTTCTGAACATTTATATTTTGTATTTCCCAAGATTTTCCAATATGGCGCCGCCCATACCCCCCATAAACCGCCTCAAAACTGTTCTTCAGAAAGTCTATGGGTGACGTCACAGACGCTTTGTCCATATTTTTTATAGTCTATGAACAAAACGCAACATACACTGAACAAAATTATAAACGCAACATTTTTGTTTTTGCACCAATTTTTCATGTTTTCAATTGTTTTCAATAGGAGCACCGCGTTTTTTAAACGCCATGAGCGTAACGAGGCGCTGAGCGTTTTTTTCACGCTGAAACGCCGAGCGCCCAGCATTTTTACTGGTCGCTGGGAGATGAAAAATGTTCAACTTTGGATAAAACGCAGCGCTCATCACTGTCACTTTTTACCCAGCCGTCCAATCACAGTGCAGGAGGGGTGGGACTAATACCACACCGACCAACTGTCACAACATTCAAACTGCTGCGGATATTCTCAACGGAAAAAACGCTGCACTGCCAAAACGCTCTCAAGCGCCCAAAGCACGGCGTCTTCAGCAGAGCGTCTAGAGTTTTCAGCTGGCTAAAAACGCTTTGGTGGACACACGGCCTAAGAGTTTTTCTATGTACGCAAGAGGCCTATTTCTCTCAAATATTGTTCACAAAGCTGTCTAATCATGCTGTAACATGAGGTGATGGTCGTGGATGATTGATGGCAAAACAATGGCTGATGGCAATCACATTAGCTCTTATTAAAATCATCAATGACCTCCTCATCCCTGCTAATTCTGGACATATCAGCATCCTCATCCTCCTGGATCTCTCAGCAGCCTTTGACAGAGTTTTCCATAATATTTTTCTCAACCGTCCATCTGAATGTGTTGGCGTGACCAGCTCAGCACTCTCCTGGCTCCAGTCATATCTCTCCAATAGGGAACAGTTCGTCACCTTTAGAGACTCCCGGCTCTGTGTTTGGACCCCTCCTTTTCACCATTTACATGACCCCCCTCGGCCGGATAATATGGTCTCAGTTTCCACTGTTATGCTGATGATACACAGTTGTATATCAGCACCAAACCATCCACTCAGCTTCCCCCACTGTCACTTGTTGACTGTCTGAATGAAATAAATACTTGGATGTCATCTAACCTCCTCGGCTCCCAAGCCGCTGCTCTTGAGGGTAGGTGATCTAGGGTAGTTTAACTCATGAAAAATGGGGGCAAAAACAAAAGTGTTGCATTTATAATTTTGTTCAATGTAAACCCAGGCCTGGCCTCTCTCGATCTTCACTGTCGTTGCTCCTCCTCAGCAGTAAGTGGTGCATTGCTCTTAAACATGTACAGACATGTCCAGTCAACTTTCCCGGGAGTGCTATCATGAAGTCATTCTGATAAACCATTCTGTCATTTTTCAAAGGTGAATCTTAGTTAACTTAAGGGTACTCTACTCTGTCTGGCATGCAAACATAAACTAGTTTTGTGTGACTCATTTTCTAAGAAGTCATAGTGTTAAGTCATGATGATGTCAGGTTTGTGACCTTTAAGCTTCCTGATTGAAGATGAATAACTGTATACTTCACTCAGCCTGCTTCAATCTGCCCCATCTAAATTATTCTGCAATCATAAAAGTGTCACATTCTCCCTTTCATATGGCAAGATTAATTTCACACATGGAATTTGCAACAGTGTAATTGCACATTGGAGGTGATACATGAGTTTAATTTGACTCAAAACAGGGATCTCCTTCAGGGAATCTACATGGTTGCTATGACAGCAGATATTTTGTTTGACGTTCTCGCTGACCTTGTATCACTCAGCAACAGCTCACCTAAAAAACAATTACTGGCTGTTTTGAGTCATCCATCCCCACGGGCACAAGAGAGAATGTCTCTCTAACATGTTCAGTGGAAAAGAAGTTTTCTATTTTATTTAGTTGCTTAACTGATCTTCACTCACTGGCCACTTTATTAGGCACATCTGTCCAACTGCTCATTATCACAAATATCTAATCAGCCAATCACATTGTAGCAACTCAACTCAACACATTTAGCAATGTAGAATCGGGTTTGTGCCCGAAATCACCCACCTATAGACCCTTTTACGGTGGGAATGTATGCGCACGCATATTGGTGACGGAATTATGGCGAGAATCAGCAGCGTGTCAAGCTACGCGAGCGGATTTTTATGTCCTCTCTCCAATCAACACGTTTAATCGCCTGCAGCCACAGGCGCCGCCGGTTCTTCTGAAACGGCCGTGATCCTGTCGGAATCCTATTGAGAATGAGGAGTCTCATCATGCCGGTCGGCCATGATGGTAGGAGACGCTATTGGTTACCAGCGGCAACGCCTTTAGAACCCTATGTTAGAACCCCACAGAGACGCGACTAAACATTCCAGAGCTCTTTAATTTCCGCGCATTTATTATTTTCGCGCATTTATTATTTTGGCAGGACAGAGACGGATCTAAGAATACGAGAAAAAAGGAAGAAAGTGAGGCAATGCAAAAAGATAAGACGAAAGAAAAGGGATCTTACAAGAACAAACTCACACAAAGCGCAAAACAGCTGTATTTGGAGAAGCAGCGTAAAAGATATTTGTTATTTTGCAGTATTATATTAACAGTATAATAACAGTATTATCATTTTATAACAGTATTATTAATAACAGTATTATATTAATAACAGTATTATATTTATAACAGTATTATATATTTTATATAATAACAGTATAATTATTTTATTATTATTACTTATGTTGTCCATGAAACTTATATAGTCCAAATACACATATATTTCAGTTCTCAAGAAATATTGTCAAGCCATCAAGTTGTTTCAAACATTTATTTCAAAGAAATAAAAAAGTAATGAACAAGGCACTCAAACAACACTTTTGCGTATGTTCGTTAAGGCACAGCAAACAGTGAAAATGTTATACTAAAGGCATCAGCCAACCATGCAATCCAGAGTCTCCTCGTCAGATACTCTCCCTGATGCTGTGTCCATTTCGATAACCTAAAAAACTGTATTACATTGTTCCTATGTTTTCCATATGTCTCGTGTGAGTTACTGGAGGAGCTTTTAACGCAGCAGTTACTTCCAGGCATGGTAAAACAGTGCGGTATTGTGAGAAACTCCTCTACTACCGAGTTAAAAACACACGTAACAATACTGTTTTGCCGTGGGAATCCTACCAACATGGCGGAGAGGGGAGGGGCTCTGTGCAATGATGTCAACTCCTCATTCTCAATAAAACTTAAGCCCCTTGGTGGAATATTGATTAGTGCAACCATAAACGCAACAACCAGACATTTTGAAGCTGGGAAACCGTTTTAAACTTTCGGAGTTGTTAACACGTTAGAGCCAGTGAGAAACAACACCACTTCCTTTGCCAAAATGCGCGCGCAACTATTTGATCACATGGGCTGTAAAAGGGTCTATTCCCAAAGGGTCATTGTTGAACACTGTTGGTCAGCCCAAACAAACACACCCCTCCCTTCATCCCAGACTGCAACATAGTGTCATGTAGATCAGAGTCATAGACTTACATTGAAGAGGGAGCAAAGCCTTTTGACCCGATACCATTGGACCAGTTGACCACTACCTAGCTACACCATAGCAACCACATAGAAATGCAAACGTTATTTAAAAAGTTATTTGCAGAGTTGTGCTTTGTTTCAGATGACTGTTGAATCCGACAGTTTGTAAAGCCAGTTCATACCTATTTTCTATTTTGGCGAATTAGGATGAATTTGTACAATCTCAGTTGTATGTGTTGTATGTTGTATCTGCTTATGACAGTTAGGTTTAGGGGTGGACCTTCATTGCTTTTTCAGTGTACGTTTTTGTACAAATCGCATGAAATTCATATGAAATCGTCAGCTTCTAGTTACGTTTTCTCATGAGATCGGTTTGGTAGTGTTTGTTTAGTGTGTTTTATGGAGGCCATGGCTACTCAGGCCAATAAGAAACAATGAACTACTGTTCTTTTTTTAATATACAAATGTGGCCTTAAAATAATAAAACTGATTATCTGAGATCAGGTGAAAATATATATATAGATGTTTCACCTGTTTTGAACATTTGAAACATTTTGTAACAGTTTCAATTTATTACTGAACAAAGCATCGTTTACTAAAACCACATGACTTTTTATCTAATCTAGTTTGGTCATTTTTGTAGCCTATTTTGTAAAGGTTTCGTTGCATTCCCGAAATGACGCTGCTGTTGTTGTGTTGACCTAATAAGTTATTAAATGAAATGATCAATGTAACTGATACTACCTTCAAACATTATATAATTGTAATTTATGTGTTCTTGGCTGAGCCGAGCAGCTGTTGACTGAAGAAGCCTCACTGTTTTGGTCAGGTCGGGTTATGTTTTGTAACTCCCTCTGGGGGACTGAGGGAAACCTTTAACAGGATCTCAGCCTGAGAACAGGCAGGAAGACCCATTTGACCTCTGCTAACTGGAGCCTCCTGGTTACACAAATACACTCTCCAACTCACACATACAAACACATTTACCATTTCAATATTCTTGCCAAATGCTCCTTTTTTTTATTAAACAGCAGTAAAACACCGGTGACATTTTAGAAAAGTGAAGATCTGTTATTTTAAGCTTAAGGTGTAGTGTTCACACAGGAAGCATGACTGAAATTCTAGACAGTGTGAATATGTTACATACACTCTCTCCTATGAGTTTTGAAGCACACTTTTTAACACATAAAAACATAGTTGCAGGACCAATGCAAAAACATGAATACCAATGAAAGATAAAACTGGTGCTTATATAATAATAAATCATTTTTGATTAAAAGAGGATTCACCCAAATTCTTACAGTACCTCTAGAATGGCAACGAAACCTCAGATCCGAACCTCAACCTCGGTCCAAATCTTGGTTATTATAGTTAAACTGAAACCATAAAAACATTTTTGAACATCAACGGACTGTAAAAAAAAATATTTGTTATCAACATTATTTTTTCTTTTGTCAAATCAACTTAAATTATTTAGTTACAATAACTTATTATATTCATTATATCTCCTTCATTGTATTAACTCACCTTTTTCCAGTTCAATCAACTTAAAATTTTAAGGCAACCAGGTTACTTACTTTTTTAAGTTAAACCAACAATATTTTTTTTTACAGTAAAACTTGACCTTAAACTTATTTTATTTTCATTTAGTTTAACTGGATAAAATAACTCAAATTAAGGCTGAAATAAAATTACCATCATCAAAAATGTAAACATAAAAAAAAAATTACTAAAAGTTTTATTAAAATCGAATGAATATTAAAAATAAAACATAAAAATAAAAACCAATTCAAAATATTAAAGGAATAGTTCACCCAAAAAAATTAAAATTCTGTCATAATTTACTCATCCTCAAATCCTTCCAAACATAGACATACAGTAGAAGAGATGGTAAAACTGGTTTGGTCCAAATTTTCTGAAGAGAAACAATCGTTTTATACGATGAACAGATTGAATTTAGGCTTTTATTCACATTTAATCAATTATCAACTCACGTAATTATGGAAGCTCAAGCATGAGAACCATTGAGGTTCATTTGTGTGTTACACAGCATGTTTGCTGATTAGTTGTACGATCTCATTATGAACATTTTAAAGCGTCAAGTAGTTGCGTAGCTGTCAATGGAGGGACAGAAATCTCTCAGATTTCATTAAAAATATCTTAATTTGGGTTTCGAAGATAAACGCAAGTCTTACAGGTTTGGAACGACATAACGACAGAATTTTAATAGCTGGGTGAACAAACCATCTACTCTAATACAAAATATGGTCCAAATGAAACCTAAATGCAAACTTAGAAGTTCTATCTCTCACATCAGACCCTTATCTGAACATTTTTCCTCAATATCCGCTAGAAGCATTGACTTTTCAGGCCCTTCCAATAACACCCATCTTTAATGTACTCACCTCCTGACCTCCAGCATCTTTGCAGACTCGCTTAAAATGATTCTTGCAGAGTGATGTTTGGGTGGGTATGCGATCGTGGGTAGTTAATGTGAAAACAAAAAGCTATTGGTCAGCTGTTGAAAAGGTTAGTAGCCAGAGCCCTCCCTGCTGAATATAAAGCAGCTTTGGGGGGAGACCCGTCAACAAACGGTTCAGTCCAGACTCAGAACACCTTACGAATGAATTGATTCCTGCCTTGACCACACTTTCCTTTGCATTTAACTTCAATCGAACATTGGGAAATGGGTAATATGGGAATCGAGATTATTGCCTTCATTTTCACCATATCTGGATGGATTCTGATCTCCTCCACAATCCCAACTGACTACTGGAAAGTGTCGTCAGTGGATGGGACGGTCATCACCACGGCAACATTTTGGTCCAATCTCTGGAAGACGTGCGTTACGGATTCAACCGGAGTCTCCAACTGCAAGGACTTTCCTTCTATGCTCGCACTGGATGGTACTTTACTACTTACTTTTATTGACTTTGATATTTATTGACTTTTTATTGCTTGCCTGAATGAATGGTCTGAATGTGTTTGTGAGTTCCCTTTTCCTTCCCCCAGAAGATCCGGGTGTCTAATTGTTCGGAAAAAGAGTAGTATGGTGTTGGATTGCCCTAATGCTGCTTTAGGCAGAAGCTTCCACAACACAAACAAACCGAAGCCATACCGATCAGTGGACCATTTAAACAGGGAGTTTATTGTGCTTAATGCATTTAACATGATGCTGACACCAGTTTAAGAATCCAATCATTTGAGTTCTGTGGAGGTAAAAAGAGACACAAGATGATCTGCTCATCTTAAACTCTATTTCAGACTCGCTTCTTCTGTTACAACCTGCAGGAATGTACAGTATTATCTTAAGGCAAGTGGAAAAATAGGGTTTATAATAACCACTTTAGCTCAATTATGTCTGTATGGCACACCCACACACAGGAGAAAGCACACAGACACAGTTCCCTCAGGCTGCCGTGCAAATGCAGGTGGTTATTATTGATATGTTTTTAATGTATTATTGGCATGTTTGAGGCACTGCATATTTGTGGTGAGATGATTCAGTTTAATGAAAGATGCTACATGTGTTGAGGGAGATTGTCATGTCTTCTCTGCTGAGGTGTTCCAAGGGTGCGTCTCAATAGTTCAGTTGTCAGTGCACTAGGATGTTGGCTCCCTAAACAAATCCCACAATGCACCGTAAAAACCATGGAGCATGTATGTTCCCTTACCGGAAATTGTCACTTTCCTTAAGCACGAAACGCACGAGCCAACTCAATGAATATAATGACACGCGATAGAAGATTTGAAAAGACGAGCCTCTTTTTATTGTATGTCAGCATAAATCACTAGTGAACACATACGTTACAGAATAATGTGTTTATACAGCATAACAAAATGTGAAAGAAAATTATAGGTCCTGCTAGTTGTCGATTTATACCAGCGGTAACATGAGATCGCTTGAGATCGAGTGATTGTTAGCATGTTGCTATGTGGTTGCTAGGGTGTGAGACCTAGTTTCAATGTACATTACTGGGATTAGTAGTACTAGTGACATCATAACATAGATGATGTGTTATCAAAGTTGCAAGAATAACTTGTGTTGGCTAAGTCTTGGTAGCATCAGTAAGAATTGGTTGAAAATAATAAACCCGATCTGTAGTGTTTATTCCACCATTTTCCACACCAAGTTTATGAATTTATGGCTTTATACTTATTTATATGACTTTTCACTTTAGCTTTTATGGTAGATTTTCTCTGGAAAGAAAACTTAAAAAAATATTTTTTTTTATAAATAATTAATAATAATAATAATTATAATAATAAAAGGTTTAAATGTTATAATAATTTGCAATAATTTTAATAATTCAATTATATATATATATATATATATATATATATATATATATACAGAAACAATGTATTGAAATAACTTCTTAAAAATAATCATGAACTAATTAGAATGGATTAAATAAAATTTACAAAAATTAAATTTGATTTAATTTGTATTAAAAACCAAATGAGCAGAAATAAAGGCAAATAATTAATTATGTTAAATTACATATTTAAAGGATACATTTTCAGTAACTGTAACAAATATTTTTTTGTGTGTGTTGGCACCAGTGAAAATGTTAGTGTGTGTGTGTGTGTGTGTGCGTGTGTGCGTGTGTGTGTATAGCTATATATATTGTAATAGTGTGTATAATATATATATATATATATTAGGGCTGTCAAACGATTACTCGCAATTAATCGCATCCAAAATAAAAGTTTGTGTTTACATAATATATGTGGGTGCACTGTGTATAATTATTTTATATATATAAATACACACATGTATATTTATATTATATATATATAATATATGTATATTATCCTGCAGCTTATATCCAGGTGTGTCGTGGACTGATGATCTCAGCTGTGTGCCTGGGATTTTTTGGAGCTATCCTGGCGCTAGTGGGCATGAAGTGTACTAAAATAGGGGGATCAGAGACCACCAAAGCCAGGATCACCTGTCTATGTGGACTGCACTTTATTCTCAGTGGTAAATATCACCTATATGGTTTCTTCTTTTCTAAAGCATTTGCAATTCCCACTTTTCAGAATGAGAGTGTCCTGTAACTATACACCCTTCCTCTGTGCAGGAATCTGCTCTTTGACCGCCTGTTCTCTCTACGCACACCGGATAACGTCAGAGTTTTTTGACCCCTTATTTGTGAAACAGAAGTAAGCAATAGCATCCCATTGTAACCTTCCTTCTGCAATTTCCTGTCTCATCACCTTTTATCAGCACCAGTATTGCCTGTTTGGATTTAGGTTTGAACTCGGGGCGGCCCTGTTCATTGGCTGGGCAGGATCTGTTCTCAGCATTCTTGGAGGATTTATCTTTTGCTTTTCCATGTCAGAAGGATTCATTATCAGGTCTGATTCTTATGTCCACATGCATACTGTTTCACCTGTTTTAAAGGGGTCATAATATATACTGTATATATATTATTATATATATATGAAGAGTTCAGATGCAAAAGCCTCTAAGTGCCATTTGAAATTTTCTTCTTTAATGATGATTTTTATCAAACTTGTATATTTAAGTTCAGTAATTTCACTTAAATTGCAATGATAATTACCTATTAATTGTTATTTAAGTGAAATTACTGAACTTAAATATATAAGTTTGATAAAAATCATCATTAAAGAAGAAAATTTCAAATGGCACTTAGAGGCTTTTGCATCTGAACTCTTCATATATACTCCTATTGCATTCGGGTCCATCTTGACTCAGAAGAGGTACATAAAAAATAGAAGAAGAAAAAAGGTTTTAGAAAGATGAAATTTTGTAAGTGAAGACAGTAAATGTATTTTTACCGCAATTAAATGGTCAAAATATACACACTTTTTCTCCCGAGAATTTTTTTACATACAATGTGAGCGATATAACCATTTAAACTAAATTTTTAGGCCTTTTAAGTTCGGGTCCATTTTGACCCGAAAGTGAAATGTGGCTTTTATTCTTACATCTGTTAGTAAGATTTGTCTAAAATGACTTCTATAAAAATACATTTTGTTTATAAACATGCTTGCTCATGCACGCACAATAATTCTAAATTTGAAATAAAATGTCAAACAAATGAATGTGTTTATAGACCAAATGTTCTAAATTTGATGGTTTGGAATAGAACAAATCCATATTTCACTTTGATGCCATTGGTGAACCATTGCAGCATGAAAAGGAAATTCAAGCTGTTTATCGTTTTTTTTTTTTTTTTTTTTAATATGAAAGTAACTTTATATGCAAGTAAAATGTATATATTTTCTTTGAAAACATTTGATGTTGTTTTATAGAAAAATAATGTAATAATAATGAGTTCATCCTAGTAATTCTCATTATAAATTTAATCTAACAATAGCTTAGGCTATATCAAATGTTCCCATAAATATTGATTAAAATATCTATTTTGCATCTCAGTGGTTTTTGCTACAGTTTCTTAAAAATGTTACATTTTAAAAAAATGTAAAGGGGGTAAATGAAGTAAAAGCATGGTAACACTTAAAATTGTAAAACATTTGTGTAATTGTGAGAAGTTACAGATACCGTTTGAGTTATGACTGCTTTACAAGCTTACTTTCCACTGGATCCAAACAGACCCTGGAATGAAAAAGGCGTTTAGAGTTTTTATAATGCATTAGGAGGGTTAAAAAGGAATTTAATTTTGAATTTTCATGTCAGCATCCCAAAATATTAACAAATGAATGCCCATGTTTACATGTCAAATACACCTCTTTAAAACTTAGCCCATCCAGCAAATCCATTCATTAATTTTATTGTAGTATGATATTTAAAAAAATATTCTTAAACATTAAAACTTAAAATTGTCAACCTGTTTCTTAAAGGCACAGTGCAGCAAATCAACCAATCAATCAATCAATCAATCAATCAATCAATCAATCAATCAATCAATCAATCAATCAATCAATCAATCAATCAATTTAATAAGTAATAAGTATTTTTGTTCAATCAATTTAATAAGTGTTTTGTTTCTGTAAATGTATTATTTGCAGAATATAATAAAGTCGTTTTATTCATATTTTTAATTAGCTCTTATTTTATTAATTATATTTCTATAGTTTTAATTTTAGTTTTTTAACTTCAGTTTTAATCATTTTAATGTTTCAGCTGACTTATACATTTTTTCTAATTACTAGTTTTATATATATATATATATATATGAAGAGATGCAAAACCCTCTAAATGCCATTTGAAATTTTCTTCTAAAATGACAATTTTTATCAAGCTTGTATATTTAAGTTTAGTAATTTCACTCAAATGACAATTAATAGGTAATCTTCATTGCCATTTAAGTGAAATTACTAAACTTAAATATACAAGTTTGATAAAAATGATCATTTTAGAAGAAAATTTCAAATGGCACTTAGAGGCTTTTGCATCTGAACTCTTCATATAGTTTTAGTTAACAATAACAACACTGGTTCTATATGTCTTGAAATCATTGTCTTCTCTGACAGGGAATACTCTTACAACGGGGCCACGTCTTTCATATCAAAAAGAACCAAGATCACAAAGATGGGCAAGAACCCTGCGACTCCTCAGAAAGATCCTCCAGACCAAAGCTTTTCTGGCAGGCAGTTCAAGAGGAACGCGTACGTTTGATTTCAGCATCCTCAGTCAAGCTGGAAATGACAACAAGTGATCAAGGCCAAGAAGCTCACACTGTGTAAAGTCAACTATCAAACAAATCCTTGAATGGAGAACCTGAGGTCACAAGGCTGCGTTCATCATTTGAAGCAAGAAGACTGCACAGAGGCATATGTCATATATTATATATATATCCAGATATTTTTCTTTTACAGAGGCTGTTTTGGTTAAGATATACACATATAAACAGTAAATTGAGACATTTTTCAGATTTAATCCATATATATTACCCATTAGAAACCTCAAGAAAGTTTCCAAGTATGGCATTGTGAAACAATTGGCAGATTTCTTCACTTGGGACTTTGAAGTAAGTCAGGTGAACTGATGACAGAGAAGACGGGGAGAACAACTGCGCTCCACTGACCACAGGAACATGCTGTCTCAGTTCGGAAATTGCGCCGGTCCTGGAGTCTCTCTTCACCTCCTGATCAGTGGAAACTCGAGACTCTGATCCCAGTTTTTAGAGCTTTCATGTGGCTGGAGCTTCCGTGGGCTGTGCGGGTCGGTTGGCAGAGTCTCCTTGTTCTGTCGGATTCTTCCTTAAACAAGTGTTCAGTGTCTCTGTGCTTTTTGTAAGAAGGTTTTAAAAGTATTTTAGGGTCAGTTGTTTATTTTTATTTTCTTAAAGCTGCAGTCTGTAGCTGTTTTTGGGTTAAAAAATGATCCGAAATATATTGAGTCATTACGTCACATCTGTACACGTAAAGAAGAGTCTCGGCTAGTCGACTATATTGAGTCATTACGTCACATCTGTACACATAAAAAAGAGTCTCGGCTATTCGGCTATATTGAGTCATTACGTCACATCTGTACACATAAAGAAGAGTCTCGGCTAGTCGGCTATATTGAGTCATTAAGTCACATCTGTACACATAAAGAAGAGTCTCGGCTAGTCGACTATATTGAGTCATTACGTCACATGTACACGTAAAGAAGAGTCTCGGCTAGTAGACTATATTGAGTCATTACGTCACATCTGTACACGTAAAGAAGAGTCTTGGTTAGTCGACTATATTGAGTCATTACGTCACATCTGTACACGTAAAGAAGAGTCTCGGCTAGTAGACTATATTGAGTCATTAAGTCACATTTGTACACATAAAGAAGAGTCTCGGCTAGTAGACTATATTGAATCATTACGTCACATCTGTACACATGAAGAAGAGTCTCGGCTAGTCGGCTATATTGAGTCATTAAGTCACATTTGTACACATAAAGAAGAGTCTCGGCTAGTAGACTATATTGAATCATTACGTCACATCTGTACACGTAAAGAAGAGTCTCGGCTAGTCGGCTATATTGAGTCATTACGTCACATCTGTACACGTAAAGAAGAGTCTCGGCTAGTAGACTATTGAGTCATTACGTCACATCTGTACACATGAAGGAAAGTCTCGGCTAGTAGACTATATTGAGTCATTACGTCACATCTGTACGCGTAAAGAAGAGTCTCGGCTAGTCGGCTATATTGAGTCATTACGTCACATCTGTACACATAAAGAAGAGTCTCGGCTAGTCGACTATATTGAGTCATTACGTCACATCTGTACACATAAAGAAGAGTCTCGGCTAGTAGACTATTGAGTCATTACGTCACATCTGTACACATAAAGAAGAGTCTCGGCTAGTCGGCTATATTGAGTCATTAAGTCACATTTGTACACGTAAAGAAGAGTCTCGGCTAGTAGACTATATTGAGTCATTACGTCACATCTGTACACGTAAAGAAGAGTCTCGGCTAGTAGACTATATTGAGTCATTACGTCACATCTGTACACGTAAAGAAGAGTCTCGGCTAGTCGGCTATATTGAGTCATTACGTCACATCTGTACACGTAAAGAAGAGTCTCGGCTAGTAGACTATATTGAGTCATTACGTCACATCTGTACACGTAAAGAAGAGTCTCGGCTAGTCGACTATATTGAGTCATTACGTCACATCTGTACACATAAAGAAGAGTCTCGGCTATTCGGCTATATTGAGTCATTACGTCACATCTGTACGCATAAAGAAGAGTCTCGGCTAGTCGGCTATATTGAGTCATTATGTCACATCTACGCATAAAGAAGGGGTCTCGGCTAGTCGTCTTATAAAGTTTATAATTCCGCGAATTACTGCAGTTGCACATTTCGAACAGAGATGGCGACAAAGAGGAAAAATGCCGGACAGCAGCTTTACAGATTTTTTTTTTCATTTTTTTTTCAGCAAGGATGCATTAAATTGATCAGAAGTGACAGTAAAGACCTAAACAAATATCTATTTTACATCAATGCTGTTCTTTTTAACATTGATAATAATCCAAAATATTTTTTTTAGAATGTATTAGATTATTAGCATATTAGAATGATTATTTTAAATTAGAATAATATTTCAAAATATTACTGGTTTTACTGTATTTTTGAGCAAATAAGTGCAGCCTTTGTGAACATAATAGGCTTTTTTCCAAAACATTAAAAAATATATTTTTCAATGTAATCAGATTGACTGATTTTTAATTTTTTTTGGATGAATCTCCCAAATCGAAAGGAAAAATAATAATAATAGATAAACTTGTTGAAAACCAAAGGGGGAGGAAAGATTAGGACAATTCTAAGGGCCCTGGCTAAAAAAAAACAAACACTATTTATACATTCAAAAATAGCGTTCCCATAACATTTGAATAATTCTAAAATACAATGTTGCCCCCACCCAAAAAAAGGTATAGCCTATTTTGAACATTCTGAGAACATTGTTTTATCAAAGCACCAAATCGGAATATTTAGGCTTACAGATTTGTTCAAATATCAAATTTAGAAAAACGCTTCTAATAAACAAGCAGACCTTCATCAGGAGTTATTGAGTGTAAAACTGGCCACCAGAGGGCATCATGGTCTCGTTTAAGACTAACATGAAAAAACATCTCTGACTTGCCCTTTCTCTGAAGATAATGTATGAGAGGTGAAGCAAGCGCTGTTTCTCAAGAGCCACTGGGATAATGGCTGAGGCTCTTCCAGTAAACAAAGGCGTAATTCAGCATCCCAGTCTTGGCTTCATTAGTTCAAATCATGAAGAAAGCACTGATCTTTAGCCTATATTCTCAGAAGGTCCTTTAAAGCAAGTCCCCTCAAACCTGATCAAAGTTCAGAACGCAACATCAAACGCCGGAATCTGGGACAGTATATTACAACACACACACACACACTTATTATTAAATTAATAATGTTATGAACCCTGCGGCTATTTTGTGGAAATATAAAGGCCCTTTTGAAAACGGCACCCTGAACAGCACCTAAAAACAGATCATCTAACCGAAGTGCACTTAACTGTATTGAATGTGCACTTGTAGTGTATTCAGATATAGTATATATTTTTAAAAACTTGACTTGCAGATACCTATTAATGAAATAAAAGGCAACTTAAGTGTAGACCAACTTAAAGAGAGTACACTTTCATGACTTTGTTTTTTAACAGTTAAAGGGATAGCTTAAGTTTAAGATATTTTAGTTTAAGTAGCCTACATTTTAAATCATTATGTTTATGTTTATAAATAAACGTTTGAATTGCTTTAAAAATACACTTATTTTGACGTGTTGACTAAAGCACAAGTAAGGTACTTAATTATAATTTTAACTGAAGTGCGTTATTCAATATTACTTTTAAAGTTATTATTGAAATGTAATAAATTGCAGCTTCATCATTACAAAATATTTCAGTTTCAACAGAAATTACATCAGCATATAATTAAGGGTAACACTTTATTTCACAGTCTCATTGTTATATATGTTATATTTAGTTAGAAATAAAAAAAAGTATGTATAATTACATGCAACTAACCCAATAAACCAAAACTTATATTAAATAGAAACTGTAAAAATACTTTTTTATGATTTGCAATCACAACATTTTTTCTTTTGTCAAATCAGCTTAAATCAATCTTTTGCAAATCAACTTAAATAATTTATGTAGTTCAGAAAACATAATATTTTGAGTTTCTGATGATTAAATCAATCTCTTTCATTGTTTTAACTCAATTTTCCATTTCAATGAACTTACAATTTTAAGGCAACCAGGTTACTTTAATTTTTTAAGTTAAACCAACAATATTTTTTACAGTGCATATAGTCACTTAATTACTCAGTACTAAAGCATATAATTACAGTTTAACAAAGACACCTTCAAATAAAGTCTCACCTAATTTAGTTTAGCATGTCAGCACATTCAACATTACACTTTAGAAATATTTCAAAGACAAAATAAGCAATTATGAAATTACATATAAAGATGTAATCCACTCAGCTAATAGTATTTCAGATACATTTAAACTACAATACAATTTGTTTTAATTGCAAATAACACACAATTAAGTGTGTGAAAACATTAAGTTCAATTCAGAGTGTAGGCCTACTTCTTTCTTTTTTTTCCCACAAGGGCCCTGTGATGTGTTTTTGTTAAAAAGAAATGAAGATAATGATGAATAAGGGGTTTTAAAATGACTGTCCACCTGCATGTAGTGTGTCCTCTTGTTTATGAAACATGAGCTGAAAACCGAGGTAAGCATTCTCTCTGTCCTCCATAAACTTACAAACAAGACACTGGGAACATGGAGAGTCAAACATTCACATCAGCACAAAACAGAAGTGATTGACTGACCTGCCAAAGCAAGAGATCCTCTCGAAGAAAACAGTTGAATGGATCACACTCACATGATAATGGTGGAAGTGACAAAGTGTTGAGAATTAAGAAAGGCTAAAGTGTGAGGCAGGTCGATCAGATAGAAGTTCTCGGAGTGTGAACCAGAGCAAAGATGAAGATCCGTGCCATGCAGATCTGGGGATTCCTGTTAGCGGTCCTGGGCTGGATCTTTGTCTCCTGCTCCATGGCCATGGAAGGCTGGAAGATCGCCTCTATCGGAGGGCAGGGTGGGAGCTCTATCATATCAGTGGGCTGGTACTGGTCCAGTCTGTGGAGGGCCTGCTTCACGGACTCCACTTCCACATCCAACTGCTACGACTTCCCTGTGCTGTGGTCCGTGGAAGGTATGGCATTATAAGTGTCTTTGAATCTACATTTCTTTTAATGGCTATTATGAAAAAAATTCATTAATTTAATGTACTCTCAGACAGATAGATACAATGGTGGCCAACAGTGATGTCCGGTATAGGAAAATTCTGAGTATTGTGATTTTGTAAGAAGATTGTGTAGTTGTACTTAGAGTCGCTTGTTTTATTTAATTGTGCAGACATAATTTTTGGCCAGGCTGCCATACAAATAAATTATGAACACATGCAAAAACAAGAGAGCTTTTTATTTATTTTTTTTAATTTATTTTTTTTATAGTAAAATAAAATTTGCATAGTCTTTTTTTATTGGCCAAATCATTTTGTCAGATAAAAACCAGTAACCAAGTGTTTGGTTCTTCCTTAATATTTAAAATAAAAAACAAAAATAGAATATTTTCCTCACAGAGGTACATACTAGCATTACAAGTCAAATTGGATCGGAACATTAATAGTATTTGTAATCACGTTAACATTGAGAGTATTTGTAATTTGTCCTCAAAGCCTTGATGTCATGAACGCATGAACTAATTATTCCGCATTTGTCAATGATAGATATTGTAATAAGTTGTTTTGGATCTTGAATGTTCAGGTTACCTTCAGATCGTGAGGGCTCTGCTGATGTCTGGGATGGGTGTCGGAATGCTGGGATTTATCCTGAGTCTTGTAGGGATGGAATGCACTTACATTGGAGGAAAAGATAAGGAGAAGAACCGAGCCGTGTTCACAGGAGGCATCTGTCATGTAACCAGTGGTAAATTCCTTTGTAAAATCCAACAGAAGCATGGTAAATTAGGTTTACACGTGTTTTACTGAGTCTGTTCTCTAAGGTATGCTGGCTGCCTCTGGTTATGCAGTTTACGCTCAGAGTGTTTCTGCAGAGTTCTTCAACCCTAGATTTGATGGATTGGAGTAAGTATAAGTATATCACAATTTTTAAAAAAAAATTATTTACTGTTTTTTTGTTGCATATTTAATTAATTCAATTAATGTAGGCTATCATATTTAAATGTGGTAATATTTCAGATTTGACTTGGGAACTCCATTGTTCCTTGGATGGACAGGATGTGCTTTTCAGATCACTGGAGGGATTTTCTTCCTAGTTTCAGTCCGCAAGCTCTGGTCTCAGACTAACAGCAGGTAAGTGTTCAACGTCAGAATAATACTAATTATTATTTTTTACTATTATTAGTAAAAAATGTTTTTACTATTAATTTTAGACTTGCCAGTGTAAAGTGCAAACTATCTATATTTAACGTAGAAAACTAAACTAAATTCCTACAACAAATAAGGGCTTTCTTGTGCGGCAAATTGGCAGTGCTAAAAATTTTTTGGTTTTTTTTATGCATCATAAGAGGAGAATTTGAAGAATCTTCATGCACCAACAACAAGGCCAAGATCCTAGAACACAAAACAACATCCTTAAAGGGTTAACACTTTAGAATGAAGGTACATGAATAATCATGTACAAATACTCGAATTAATACTTCAACATGAACTCATGATTAGTGAAGATATGAATCATGAACCAATGAAGAGCGATCCTTAACTAAGACAGGAGTCATAAGGATTCTAACAGCAGCCTTAACATGTTGTGAATGTTTGATAGTTAATGCAGTAATTGACATTTATGGGTAAACTAAACCAATCAGGCTCCATACAAATAAATAAGTAGACTTACTCTGACTTTGAATGGGCTTTATGCACGGCGGTATTTCCGGTGAAGCATTAGGGATCCTCGATAACTTCCGCCGATCGTAGAGTCCGAAAATCAATCTTTCAATACCGAGAATTTATATTGAATTTTATACTCCATGGTTATACTAAAAAAACGTTAGTCACAAAAACAGATAAAACAGACACCCCTCGTTGTGTTTATGCTTCTTTTTAAAATTATATTAAATAAATATAACTATATATAAAATTACATCTAAACGTATGTACGTTTCATTTCAAAGACTGGAGGACAGTAAATTTTGAAGACTCTGCCATAATCCCGTTTTCCTCGGTTTTCCTCCGCTTTAATCTACACAACCGGAAATGGACGAGCATCCTTGCGTCAAATGCGGAATTTATGCGTGCATATAGCCCATTGAACATGTGATTTAATAGGCTACTCTCATCAACTGTTTAGTCAAAATCTGCCATCTACATTGTGACAAATATTTGGAATGGCACAGGATTATTTAGCCATAGGCTACATAGATCTGTCTATTCAAACATGGGAAATATAGACTAATAACTGCCAGTATAAATTAAATTTGAACTTAACAATTTGTTTCTGATAGGGTTTGTTTCTGGGGGGACATTCATTAGTGGCGCACTGCTTTCTCTTGATGTGTTAGTTGTGTTCCCATGGTAATGGGCTCTATGCACGGCGTTATTTCCGGTGAAGGTGTATGGATGCTCGATAACTTCCGCCGATCATAGAGTCCAATGCAATAGCGAGAATTTATATTGAATATTATACTCCATGGTTATACTAATGAAACGTTAGTCACAAAAACAGATACAACAGACACCCCTCGTTGTGTTTGCTTCTTTTTAAAATTATATTAAATAAACATAACTATATATAAAATTACATCTAAACGTATGTACGTTTCGTTTCAAAGACGGGAGGACAGTAAATATTGAAGACTCTGCCATAATCCCGTTTTCTCCGGTTTTCCTCTGCTTTAATCTACACAACCGGAAATGGACGAGCATCCTTGCGTCAAATGCGTGCATATAGCCCATAGACCCGAATAGACCAGCCAGCGACTTTTTTTAGCGGTAAAAAAAAGCGAGACTGTGAGGGACAGACATCTATTCAGTGGGTTGTACTATCATTTAATGTGTTTTTGGATTGTTCTGCTGATGAAATACTGCAAAAATATATTTTAGAGAAATTTCTGTAGATAAAAAGCTGAATAAGAGCTGTGTAAAATTATAAGTGATCTAGGAGGAGCTTAAACAGCATATGCCATTGAAAACACGGTAAGTCTATCCCTCACAGCCTCATTTCATACATGTCATGTGATGCTGCTCTGTATAGAGGTCTATACTGGCGTTTTAATCTAATCGATATGGACTACCGAATTAATAAGTAAAGACATGTTTGCATGTGTGTTGTATTGAGATTTTTCGGGGAGTAATGTACAGTAATTAACTGTATTTCTTGTCATTTAAACCTATATGCTTCGATTAGCATTAGCTGGACACGCCTTATTTTGCATGTTTTCCTTGTGTGTCTTTATAGGTATGTTTGGGCTTTCTTTTGAGTCCATATATGTTTAATTACATTAAAATAAAATATTATTTTAATCTTTGGTTTTTGTACTGGTGGTTTAAAGCAATAAGGAGGGCACTCTGAGTCTTTATTCTCAGTTCTCGACACACAGATTCCTCAAACTGTTTGTTACCAAGAGGATCTTGCTCCCCATTGACTACCATAGTTGGAAACAAATAATATGGAAGTCAATAGGGGACGAGATCTGCTTTCTTACAAACATTCTTCCAAATATCTTCCTTTGTGTACAGCAGAACAAAGAAATATATACAGGTTTGGAACTACTTAAGGATGACAGAATTTTCCTTTAATCCAGGAATCCGTACATGATTATTCATGTACCTTTATTGTAAAGTGTTACCCCGTAAAAGTATATTAAAAATAGTCCATACGTACTGTGCGTAGGTATTCCAAAGGTATACGATATATTGATATGATAATATGCTATTATGGATATCTCAATCCCGTCAATCTTCAAATTAAAAAAAAATTGTGCCTCAAGCTATCATATACAACATTGGTTTTCACATTTGTTACATTACCCAACTGAGGGTAGACTTTCTGTTAATATTGACCTGCCTTTTTTTGTTTTTACACAAAGCTATCATATTGCTTTAAAAGTTTAATTCATTAATAATTGCACAGGGGAACTTCTCAAGAAAGATTTCCACCTAACACATTCGTACAAAAAATTAATTTGTTCCTAAACTTCTTGGTGTTAAATAATGTTAATGATCTTTGGTGTATTTCAAATGAGTGTCTGCGTTCCCAAGGACAGTCCTTTGCATAAAACACGCCTGATAAGGTTTTCCGCACACCCTTTCCTTTGTAGCCTTTCACTCTCAGCAAACATACAGTATGACGATCTATAAAGACAGCAAGCAAGATCCTTAAACAATGCCAACGTTTTTTCATAAATATAAAATACTTTTTAGTATGAAAGCTGAATCATAATTTATTTGTAAAAACCTTTGTACGCAGATTTCACGTTGAGTGTAGGTCATATGGAGTACTTCAATTGTTGGTTATGGTGGTTTGGTATCGCTTATTGTCATTGTATGGAGCTATGGGAAGATGACATTGAAATTTTGGGTGAATTATTCCTATAAAATTTTAATATTAAATTGTTTGACCTCAGTGCACCAGCTCTCAGCGTTCCTGTTGTGGAGGACAATGCCATCCGTTCTTCTCACGCAAATATTTCCATCATATCTGAACTCTCAACTAAATCCAACATGTCAGCCATATCTGAGCTCTCCTCAAAGTCTGAAACATCACCTTCGTCAAATGTTCCATCAAATACCACCTTCAGAACTGGACGTCCCTCAAGACCGCGGCACTCTGATAAATCAAGAGGCTCTGTCAGATCAGAAGTGTCACGGTCAGTGAGCTCCTCACGGTCCTCAATGATCAGCAGATTACATTTAAACAGCAAGAAAGTATCCTCTCCATCTGGAGCCACTACACATCTCTTCAGCAAGAACTCTTACCTCTGAGACATGGAGCTTAGCCTTAGATTAAAGGATCTGAAACAAACAGGTTCAGGAAAAAACACATTGGAAATTACTTCTAACCAAACGTCTCAGGTTGCATATGCAACCCATTTAACTGAAAAGATGAATGAGACACTCCTTCTTTAAAGGGAACAGCGTCAGTTTGAATGGTGTCTGAAGCATGTGTACAAGCCAATATTCATTGGCAGATGGCAGTCCATGACATCACACACAGAGTGCCTGTTACTATACTTATTTTGTCTGAAGAAGATGCGCAGGCAAGCCTGAGGCATGGCAACGAGACACAGCATCTCTATCCTCTTCTCAGGGAACCTGGTTGCATTCGAAACCTGAGACGTTCCCTTTCAAAGTGGAACTTCAATGCTGTATCTTGGTGTTGACACTATGGGCAACCAATACCAACTATGCCATGCTGAAGGAATGCTTGCCTCACTGCGCTGTGATTATGTACACACAGATTGGGCATAGTACTAAATGACTCTACGGACCTAGGCCGGAGTCAAAAGCGAGTCAACCCCAAGGGGCGCATCCTATGCGACTTGAATAGTGGCATCACTCCCTAAAGTCATAGTGCACAAATGCTAGTGCACCTTACTCCCTATCTCTGCGGGACAGGCCTCAAACTAGAGACCTAAGCAGAGCTGCAGGGGAATACACAACATCGCCTCTCTGGCATGCATCTTAGGGGGCAGTCCACCAAAGGGATCCTGCGAGGTCCTAAAAATCTTAGTAATCAGTACTATCAGACTGAAATACTGAGAAAGGCACTGGACAAAGGGGGAATTGCCACATGTTTTTCTAAAATGCAGTCCACCTCTACTCTGTCCCAGCTACCACCTTTAGTATTGCTACCCATCCCTAGAAGAGAACATATCCCAACCCAGTTATGATTGGGGAGAGTGGCAAAGAAGATAATAGGATGCATATAGAACCTAATTCAATTCTCCTTTACCAAACTCATAAACTAACTTGAGTAAAGACACTTCCAAAGCCTGCTATATGTTGAGAATTCAAATGCCACACTTCAGTAGGTATGGCTATATCCCCACCCTAAGGTGAGCACATATCTCTACGTCAAAACCATAGTTGGAGAGGGAGGTAAACGAAATGGAAGAATTGTTGCAGACTGCCTCCCATATTTTCATCTAGCTTACCCAACCCAGATAGCAAACTGACATTGAATCAACGTGGAAATATGACATAGAAACAACGTTGATCTGACATTGTTTTGCTCATCAAATTAACGTTGAACCAACGTCAGACGCGTCATTCTTTCAAAACTAACGGAAAATCAACTTGAAATCAACGCGTTGTTTCAACGTTATGAAAGCAAACCAATTTTCGATTTTCATTTAGCTTTGAAGAATGCCGCGTCTGACGTTGGTTCAACGTTAATTCGATGAGCAAAATCAACGTTGTTTCAATGTCATGAGAGACGTCGTTTCCACGTTGATTCAATGTCAGTTTGCTGTCTGGGAAAGTCCTTTCAGGCAAGTCATGCCACTCGCCGCCATCTTGGCAACGCCTCCAGGCAGCTATTTCGGACTTAACAAGACCAGGCTCCTATCTAAATGAATAGAGAGTCAGAACTGCACTTTCACTGGTCACCAGGACATAAAAACTGCATGTATAGAAACAGCAGTAAAATATAATAAAAATCGCTGAGAAAGTCTGATGACTTTGCACTAAAATAAGGTTTAAAACGCCGTTTTCCCACAGGTTATACTTTTACTGTGCATGCGCAAGGGTTCTCTCGCTCTCTGTCACGCACGCGCGTGCACAGTTTGAAATGCGCGCTCTTGCTTGCTCGCTCTAGATTCCGGGAGGTTTGACCTAATTTGCGGGCCTCTATCAATCTGCGGGAGACACCCGGAACTTCTGAGAGACTTGGGATGTCTAATATTTACACAACTCACACATACACTGCATATCAAATCTGCCGCCTTTTCAAACAGTTACGTATTTAAATGTTTCCCGGCTTGACCATTAAAAGCAGACGATTTGCTGTCCAGCGGGAGGGGCGGGGCATTTGCATACAACCGCCATCTTTGGTGTTACGGGTTTTCCCTATACATTTATAAGGATTTAGGAAGTGGCATGTCTCTATATAAATAGTCTCTGGCTTACATCAACCCCTAAGGAGGTGTCTGTCTTAAGGGAGCATTTAGTATACAATTCTACTTTAGACCCAAACATATTGGAGAATAAAGAAGAAAGAAAGCTGTTTCAATTTCTGATTCCTGTTTTTCTTTGAACAAAATCTGTTTTCACAGTGTTTTTCATCAGTCTTGTTGTTTTTCTGGCCACTTTTTGTCGATCCCGTCCATGAGGTCTTGAGTCCTCCTGGCCTCGCACCTCCTCTGCTCCTTTACTCCCTTGGAGGGGGGACACGAGCAGCTTGGCTTCTTACCCAGTCTCCAGTTATCCTACGACACGTCAGGAGGGTTGGAGGTTGAGTGAGGTGAATTTATATATATATATATATATATATATATATATTGAACATTCCTCCTGAACCCTGACTACTGTGCCTTCGCCTCTCTGAAATTCCCCACAACCGTCTGAACAGAACTGTGGAAGAATCCACAATTCTGCAACCGCTTCAGGATCTCTGCCCCTGATCCAAATCTCTCAGCAGATCAGCCTGATACACCTGCAAATTCAGACTGACCGCTACCCCAAATGCCTTGCCAATCCGTTAGGTTGGTTTTCAATGACTTTCAGAAGATTTCAAAGACGATGCCTCACTCTGCGAGAGATTGCTGGCTAGCGTCTCTTCTACGGGGAATCTTCACTCATCCTTGCTCGCGTAAACCCTCCACACTCGCATAATTTAAATGTGGGGATAGAAAAATGCAAGCTGAATATGGCTTCTTCCAGTATCTTACCAGTTCAGTGTAAAGATCCGGTAGAAAAGGAAGGCTCATTGAAGGATGATGAGCCTCTTTCTCAAATTCCTCCGCCAGCTCGACTTGAGAGCCCTACTCAGCAGCCACTGGACCCGACCTGCGGTATGAAGACGTCCTTTGAGAAGAGGGCCAAGTGTGAGCAGTTTTTTTTTCACTGTGAAATTGTCACAGTGACTGCATCCACACCGCTCGAGAGCTGACCATGCGTGCCCTGCTCCCTAGCAGACAAGGCAAAGATCGTGGGTGTCCTCAGATGTCATAAACTGAGGACACTGAGGCACGCACCTTCTAATGAACTTCCTGAAGACAAAATAGGTGGTGAGGTGTAACTCAGGCCCCATACTCATGGGTGTTCACCAATGAATATCGGCATGTGCACGTTCTTTAGACACCAGTCACTATGATGCCATTCCCTAGAGCATCAACACTAAGACACAGTCCCACTTTAAAAGGGAACTGCAATGTACAACATAGTTGCAACAAATAAACAGTGTTAATAGAAATCTCAAGGAACTCTCCAAATTGTGGATATAAATGCATGCATTTTTGTGACATAAACTGAAAATTGTTAAATGAGCAAAAATGTAAAAGAAAATAATATTTATTGATGATTCATTCATTCATTGAGAAAAGTATGGAATATTTAGAGATAGCATATTACCCATGACTTACAATGAAATGTGCTTTGTGAAAACTATCATTCATTTTATGTTTTGTGGAGTTGATGTAAAAAAGCAATGCAAGAAGACAATACATTTTTTTAAAGATGTTTTAAACAAACTTTTTTTATACATTTGTCAATTTATCCTTCTCCATTGCAATGCACGTAGGCCTATATGGAGGTCTAGGGGTCTTATCATTATCATTAAAAATAAAACGATATAAAACATTTTTGTTAATATAGCTGAAATAATGTTAGAAAATAATTTTCAACTAAACAAAAATGAGTAATGTTGCTTTGGCAATAACAAACTAGAAGCACTAAAATTACTAAATAAAAAAAAATTGAACTAAAATTTGCAGCAGTTCCACTTGCTTTGTTTCCTTTTCTGCAATATTTCTAACATTGCTGTATGTTGTTTATACATCAACAGTATGACTTTCCCTGAATGTGGAGCTCTACAGCAATAGTGTAACTTAAATGTCTGATTTAAGAAGAACACTCAACCAATATGATATCCAATACCTAGCCGATGTTCTTTCACGACAACACACACAGGTCCTCCACTAGTAAACTCTAATGACTGTGGAACAAAACCTTAAATCTTTGACATTTATATACTATCACCGTTTCCTTTATCACAAACGATGTCATGGGAAATGACAAGTGATGTCCCTGGTTGTCAGATTCAGAGATTTGATAGAACTGAGAAATTGCTTATGAGGTAAAACCATGTAGTTTTACCAGTTTTAAGCTGTCATATGCCGAAAAAGCATTGTGGAGGCAATGGGTTCAGAGACCAAGATGGGAGGAAGCTGTCCTTTAAGGACACACACCACCATGTAATTTTATTCCATGATGACTTGAAACTTCTCAGCAGTTCAGGGAACATGCTTTCCATCGATCTTTCAACTTTTCTTTCACTCATCTGTCGCTTGAAGCCGGCAGCATGAGGCGGCGAACAGTGGTGATGTATGTGGAGATCGGCTGCTTTGTGTCCTGTCTGTGTGGCTGGATGTTGATCTGCTCCACGCTGGCCACTGAGTACTGGATCTTCTCTGAGGTCAGCTCTGTAGTTCTGACCACCGGGAGCTACTATTCCAACCTCTGGATGGACTGCGTCTCGGACGGCACAGGCGTATCTGACTGTAAATACTACCCTTCCATGATGGACCTGCCTGGTGAGGAATCACTGCTTACACTTTATAAAAGATCTCACTTGTTAACATTAGTTAACGGATTAACTAACATGGACTAGCAATGAGCTATGTAAATTTACATAATTAATTAACCTTTGTTAATGGTGCTTAGAAAAATGTTCATTTTCATGTTAGTTCACAGTGCATTAACTAATGTTAACAAATACAACTTTTGATCTTAAAAAGTATTCGTAAACGTTGAGATTAACACTATTAACGAATGTTGTTGATATGTTGTTTACTGTTAGTTTGTGTTAACAAATTAAATCTTATCGTAATGTTATGGAATCACACTACAAACTGCGAAATTGTGAAACTGGTAAAAAAAAAATATTGACAAACAGTAATATTGTGAAATATTATGACAATTTAAAATTACTGTTTTCTATTTTAATATATTTTAAAATGTAATTTGAAAGCTGAATTTTCAACATCATTACTGTTGCTGATTACACATCAGTTTTCAGTGTCACGTGATCCTTCAGAAATCATTCTAATATGCTGATTTTATGCTAAAAAAAACATAAATTATTATTCAATGTTGAAAACAGTTGTACCAACAATGTACCACCCCCCCCAAAAAAAAATTCTATGATGAATAGAAAGTTCAAAAGGACAGCATTTATTTAAAATAAACTTAAAAAATTAACTTTTGATCAATTTAACTCATCTTTGATGAATAAAAGTATTTTCTAATTTCTTTCCCCCAAAAATAAAAAAATAAATTCTTATTGACCCCAAACTTTTGAACGGTAGTGATTAATGTTACAAAAGCTTTCCATTTCAGATCAATTCTGTTCTTTTGAACTTTCTATTCATTAAAGAATCCAGAAATAAAAATGTAAAAAACTGTTTTCAACACCGAAGACTGGAGTAATGATGCTGTAAATTCAGCTTAGATCACAGGAATAAATTAAACTTCGCTATATATTCACATAAAAACCCACTGTTTTAAATTGTAATAATATTTCACAATATTACTGTTTTTTTTATCAAATAATTGCAGCCATGGTGAGCAGAAAAGACTTCTTTTAAAAACATAAAAAATCTTACCAATCTAAAACTTTTGACCGGTAGTGTATCGGGTGAATGCAGGTTGATTTGGACACTTTTTTCCATTAAGATAAAAAAGTGGAAAAAGTGTTAAATACAACCGTACTTTTATTTTTCTTTATAAAAAATGTATCTTACTTTTCAGCAAAAACATTAAGCAGCAATTGATAGTAATACACATTTCTTGAGCAGCAAATGAAGGATCATGTGACACTGAAGACTGGAGTAATGATGCTGAAAATTCAGCTTTACCATCACCATCACATGAATAATTTACATTTAAAAAAAAAACCCATACATTTTAAAATATATTATTATAAAAAGTTTTTTTTAAATAGTATATTTCATAATATTATGGTATTTTTTTTTTTTTTTATCAAATAAATGCATTTCATGACATCAGGAGAGGAGAGGCTATTCATGCGTTTGGTTAATATTAAACTCCGCTCTTGGTGTGGTTGTTAGTTTTCCTCCATGTGTGCAGGGCTCTGTCTGTGGTCTCTGTGATCTTTGGGTTCTGGGGAGCTGTGCTTGCCCTCATTGGGATGAGATGTACCAAAATCGGAGGCTCTGAACTCGCCAACGCCAGAGTCACATTCGCCGCAGCATTGACGTACATGGCATCTGGTATGAATATTCCTTCATAATCATTTTTGCATAAAACATAAACTGAGTATCATTAACTGTTGTCTGTTTTGCAGGGTTCAGTGGTATGATAGTCTACTCCTGGTGGGGAGATAAAGTGCGTTCTGAATTTGTGGATCCATATTTCTTACAAACAAAGTACGTAATTATGACGGTTGTGTTTGTCATATTACTGTATGTCTAACTTTGAACGTTTTTATTTTTAGAAAGTATATATTGTAGTAATTGACGTAAAATACGTGTCATGATGGGCTTAAAGGGGTCATATAATGAGGAATCAAATATCTTTGGTCTTCTGAGACAGAATTGTTCCTTGGATCATGAAAAAAAAAAAAAAATCCCGAAAAACCTCCTCAGTCCAAAAATTTAATTTATCGAAATGAATAGATGCAAAAGAAAACACTGCGCTGACAGACATTGACCAACGTGGACAATCACCAGATTACAGTACGAAACTGATTCAACATACAAGCTCCAACACACACTGATCTGACAAAACCCTGGTGCAGTGTGATTGGCTGTAAGATTCTACGACAGTAAATTGCATTGGCAAAGCAGCCAGTGAAATAAGTGACTGTTAAATTAAGTGACTGTGTAAAACACTTTTAAGGGCTTATTTCACGCAAATTGGTGTAATATGGTCCTTTAAAATATGAAACATTTATTTCTCAGGTTTGAGCTCGGTGCCGCTCTCTTCATTGGTTGGGGAGGGTCGTGTCTGGTTATATGTGGAAGTGCAGTCATGTGCTATTTCTCTGGGAAAGAGTCATTCCCCAAAAGGTCTGACCCGTCACACTGTATACATCTACTGTACGTGGAAACAAGTTAAATAGGCGGGTGAAATGAATATGTGGTTAAATTGGTACCTTTTTTCTTCCTCAGATTCAATAAACAACTCACAAGACCTCCAACCAAGATGACAGCACATACCAGACGTATGTACATGCTGCCCGTCTCGTCCAGACCCTCAGCTGTGTTCATCCCTCCTTCACACCAATCATACACTGAGAGAAGAGGAAGCAGAGAGAGGAGAGGAACACAAGGAAGCCAGTCATCAAGAACCGTCCGACCCATAAGGCCTCCTATAGACTCAGCTGTTTAAAAAAATAATCTAGCAACATTTGTTGACACTTTTCCAACACTAGAAATTGAAATATAACAGGAGTGCAAAGGAAAGAAGAAACTTGGAAGTGTTATAAAAAGTGAATTTAATAAATCATCTAGGATATAAACAATCAAAAAGTATGAGGCAATTATTTTAAAGTGCAATATGTTCCTTAACCGTACTTGTACCTTTATATTTCATATAAAGTAATATTTAACACTGTGAATCTACAACTCAAGGAATGAAAGGCTGTTTGTGCACTGCTGTCCCTGAATAAACACTAAGCCTGAGCTACAACAGATACTGGCTGTTACAGTTGTGAGGTTTATTAGCTGGTGAATGTTTTGGTATTGCTCTGTTGCATTTTCTTATATCTCATCTGAATCATCCCAGTCACTGACAGTCACTAAGCTGCTCTTGAGAGTGCTGCTGGTTCCTGCGTCTGTGAGGCCTGCAAAACACAAAGAAAGAAATCAGAATCGCCCTCCGAAAACCGTCCGAGGAGTCTCTGCTTATACAGTAAGAGAGGGGTCACGACTCCCGAAACACTGCTTCGAATGTCTTTTAACACCACAAAAATATACTACGGGTGCACTCACACTTTGGTTCGATTCAAACCGACTCTGGTGCGATTGCTCTGTTAGTGCGGTTCATTTGAATGAGTGTGAACGCTGCTATCCGAAACCTTGGTGTGCACAAAACAAGCGGACAGAGAGTCCTCTGTCCTCTTCCAAACAAACTCTAGTGAGGTTTGACTGAAATATGAACGCAACACAAATCTAAACGAACCAAAAACAGGACGTGATGTCACAAGATGCGACCCTAAAGAGGACAGAATGGTCAAGCGTACCTGTTTTTTCTCGTCATAAGAGCTACGTTGGCCATTACAGTTCAGTGCAGTGCTTTTGTGTGTGTAAAGGAGAAATTCCTGGAGCTTTTTTTTAACTCATTTACATGTTTTATTCTGGCCAGCTTTACTGACTGCAGAAATTAATGTTGTGAGGTTTATTCGTTATTCTATTTCTATTTTTTTTTTGTAAGTACTGTACACACAACAGAAAATATTTTAAAAAGGTTCAATGAAGTTGCAAAGTAAATAAATTGAATGGTGACTAACATAATTCTTCAAAAGTAAAACTACTACTTTAATATTATAGCTCATTTAGCTTTTGTTTATGGTAAAATAAACAATAGGTAACATGTTTTAAACATGATACATATTAAAAATGGTCCATTTAAGTTGGTGATTAAATCAATTGGCTAACAGCGACTGAATGTCCACACAAAGATGGCAATATCTGAAATCCTTGTCCTTGTGGGGACATTTTTGGTCCCCATTAAGAAAACACCTTAGTAGGGCTGGGTATTGTTAGGTACTTCACAATTCGATTCGATTTCAATTCTTGAGGCTTCGATTCAATTCGATTCGAAATTGACTTATTAGCTTCGATATCGATTCAATAATAAGTAAATACACAAGTAATTAAGTGCCTGAGTATATTTTTAAGTAATGTGTGCAGTTTTACCAATGTTAAAGAACAAATTGACCCCAGCATGTTTGTTTCCTGTCATGGTTTATTCAGCAGAATAAAATGGTAAATGGTAAATGGACTGCATTTATATAGCGCTTTCATAGACCCAATGGCCACCAAAGCGCTTTACAATTTGCCTCACATTCACCCATTCACACACACATTCATACACCGACGGCGACGGCAGCCATACAAGGCGCCATCCAGCTCGTCGGGAGCAGCCGGGGTTAGGTGTCTTGCTCATGGACACCTCGACACTTGGTCAGGTGGAACCGGGGATTGAACCACCAACCTTTCGGTTTGTAGACAACCTACATGAACCACTGAGCCACTGCCGCACCAAAATGTACAACATTGTATGTGTTGAATTCAAACACAACTGTGACAAGCACTGTACAGTGCTTTAACAACACCTCTAAAGTGCATGTAACTAAGTAGTAGAAAGTATATTTCTTTCTTCCTATACATTCAAGTTATAAAAGAAATGTAAACAGAAGCACAAAATGTGCATACTCAAAAAAGTGCAATATTATATTCTAATTATAATTTTGTAAACAATAACACTTAATAGCTGATCACACTTAACAGCAATTGCGAGTTATCAGGCCAATTCTAAGGGGGAAAAAATACTAACCTTTTTCCCTCTCAGAAGTTTATATCTCATAGACTTTATATCATGCATTTCTGACTTTATATCACGCAATTCTGACTTTATATCATGCATTTCTGACTTTATATCACGCATTTCTGACTTTATAACACCCAATTGCGACTTCCATAGTTCCCGGCTTACAGTGGAATCCAAAATGAGCCCAAACGTCGGCTTTTAATGTTGGCGGTGCAGGCTTGAACGGAGTGCAGCTGCTGTCCGTCATCGCGCTGTTTTGCTAAGGGCTAAAGCGCGACTTGTACAACGCTGAACGCTCTCACTAGAGTGTAGCCCACAGCGCCGCCACTGGCCTGGATGGCTGAATCGATTCATAGGATTTGATGAATCGATATTGAATTGAGAAGCAAAAAATTGCAATGCATTGATGAATCGACATTTTTACCCAGCCGGCATTAAAAAAAAGAAGTTTGCTTCCGGTTGTTTGTCAGTTGAGGTCATGGGTCGGTAGTGATTTTTATTTATTTTTTCTCCAGTGGCAGCAAGGGATAGGAAGGAAATTATTCTTATATATTTTACTTCACAGTAGTGGATAGGCTACTCTATTTTTTCATAACATAGCCTACCTGTACATGTACTCTACCACCTTGTGTGTCCTAGAATTTTACACACACACACACACGCTGATTTTAAATGTGTGCGCGCAGGCAAACGCGGTTGCCTTATTGTAAAGTGTTACCGGTTCGCACGCGCGCATCTACGTTACAACAATGACGTGTGAACGCCCGTGGTTGCCTCTTTTGTTAGCATTGCTGGAGGACAACAGGCTATACAAATACGGTCCTGTACAAAAACATAAATTATAGTTCGCCTCAAAATTTTTTTATTTGTGTATTTATTTAATTTGTATTATTTCTTACCCAATCTCATAAAATAAATTTGGGTCAGACATAAATTGACAGGGTCGGTGGGAAACCGGAACCAACAATTTTTTTTAATGCCTTGTACATCATACGTTTTTTTTTTTTTTTTGATGTTTTTTTTTTTTAATTGTAAAAATGCAGAACGTTTTTTTTTTTTTGTATTTTTTAAATGATGTAAATCATTTATAACCCTGATTTCTTATTAGCAATCTCTTGAAAATATGTTTGGTTAAAAAGGAATTGTGTGTACCTGGCTTGTGCCCTTTGCCCGTCGATGAGCCCCACACACTAGTGCTGGTGTCAAGACTCTTGTCCAGGCTCTTCCTGATGACGGGCACGGGACATTGGCTGGGTTTGGGTACAGCGGGCACATCCTCTATAGAGGAGATATCCCAGTCATCATCGTCATCCTCTTCATCTGTGTACTGAAAGCAAGAGCAGAAAATCAACACTTTACAAATTTGGTATAGAGATAAAAACAGCATTTATTTAAAATAAATATCTTTCATAACATTATAAATGTCTTTTCTGTCACTTTTGATCATTTGAATGCGTCCTTGCTGAATAAAAGTATTAATTTCTTACTGAACCTAAACTTTTGAATTGTATATCTACAATATTTGCTACAGTTATGTGATGAGCTATATTATTTGACTGAAGTGCAAAAATACTTAATAATAGCCTATTTAATATATTTTTATGTCAATATAATATCAAAATATTTAGATAAATAACCTGTTCTTCATTGTTGTAGATTTCAGTGCCATTTTAATGCAACATAATATAAACACCTGTATCTGTTTAAAGGGGCAGATCTCACCTTTAGGACTTTCTTTACATCTTGCTTTATATTTTGGACAGCTGTTGGCTTTTCCAGGAATGTATTAACGCCCCCTGCTGGTTTCTGTGGGCCTCGTGTCGCCAGCTGTTTTTCAAGGCTTTTGCCAATAGCTTTGACATTACCTACAGAAAACACACACAATACAGACATAATCATTTTTCCAATTTTTGTTTGCAATACAACAACTGACATTAGAAGCGAGTCTTACTGTGAGTAATCTTCTCCACATTTCCATTCTGGTCGGTGTGTTTGTGCAGCTGTGACAGGTTGATCTCCTTGATCTCGCTGCCGTCGGTCCACTCGCTGTCGCTCTCGCTCAGAGCGGTCACATCTGTCCTGTTCGCACTGATCACGGGAGCAGCGGAGCGCACAGCAGGAGTGTGAGGGCTCGAGCGCTGATGCGTTTTAGCAGTCTGGGCTTTGACTGTGGTGCTGTTGACCGGGACAGATTTCTTCTGTGTTTGAGGGGCTTCGTCCTCAGACGTCTCCTCTTCCTCGGACGAATCGTCATCAGAGCTGAATGGAGGGGTTCTGCAAGCGAGACATAATATTTATGTTCAGACAACACAGAAAAAGCCACTGCATCTAAGTATAAAAATACTGCTAAAGAGCGGTAAAATAAAATCAGTGATCATTTAAGCCAAAGTGATATCATGAACAGGTAAATAAATTAAAGTCAACAGGAAATTGCATTTCAGCATTTCAATTCTGTAATGTGATGCATGTCTGATTCAAACTACTAATACAACTAAAAAATATTATACATTTCTGTTAAATAAATACGCATGAACTAAAATAAAGAATTAAAAACCTTACATTTATGTCAAGGCAATTTTTGAAATTTCAAATTTGTAAAAACTAAATAGACATATATATATATAAAAAAAACAATTATAAAAACGACAAAAACAACAAAATGACTATTACTTTTACTAAAAATAAATGTATTATATATATATATATATATATATATATATATATATATAAATAAAAAAATGTAAAATATTAATAAATACTATATTAGTATATTAATAATACTGCAATGACACTGTTGATTTTAAACATTGGGGCATGATTGATTAAAAAAAAACTTTTTTTTTGTCCCACCAGCTTTGGATATGTTAGCAGAAAACACTTGAGAGAGTTTTTTCAAAACAAACAATACAAACCTTACAATAATGTGAATTACGAGACAAGGATTTGTATTATTTATTTTGTGTGATTTTATTTTAAATTTGAAGTAATTTACCTGAAGATAAAACCCTGACGGCCGTACCTGTGATGCTGCAGTGGTGTGGAGGTCTTGGGCAGGGTGCTGGTTCTGCTGCGTGGGACTGGTTGTGGAGTGTGAAGCTGTTTGGGAGCAGGACCTGACACCACACGAGTTACTGTTG